AGGGATTGTTTTGAAGAAGTAACAGAGGAGTCAGGTACATGAGTTTTTGCAACAAAAAAACAGGTAGTCAGAACAACAGAAGCTTATTGTTAATCAAAGAAAACCCAGATATCTCAATTTAGTGAACTTAATACTTCTCTATATTTGGGAAGATGCAAGTCTGGGTCATTGAAATAATCCCTTTGATAGGCACCTTAACTATCTAAGGCCAGTATCCTGCTATTCTCCATCCTGAATCCCCTTATGGTGCACACCTGGGGAAGGGTGCAGTGGCTGATGGCTGTACCATCCTTTCTTTACAGATATAGCACATGATGTTTGTCGTCCACACGTGTGAATATCAAGGAACATGGCTTGCAATTTTACCCACCACAGAATTGCATTTTACTCCTGTAATTCACATGAAGATGAACTTGTTGCAATTACCAGTTGCCTACAACTTCTGTTCCTCCCTCCTTTCTTAATACTTTGGGGAAGTGTGTCCAGTTAAAAAACATACAATTTCATCTTCCCAGGCTCCCTTACAGCTACAGCAGGTAGCATGTAACCCAGTTCTGGCAGTGAAGTCAGGTGAGGCTTCTGGAAAGCTACTGCCTTCCTGATACAAAGGTACAGACAGACTCAGCTGGTATGTCTGTTGCCTTCTGACCATCTACCTTTCTCCCTGCCTGGAATGTAGATGTGATGCGGAAGGGAAGCAACTGTCCTGTGTAGCAGGTACCATCAGAACTCTGTTCATAACCTTTTGAAACTCACATGGAATTGTTACATTAATTATAGATTTTTCTACTGAAAGCTCCTGTACACAGTCTGTGGCAGAGGGTGAATGGCTACAGGACCATGCTTAGCCTGGTCGGAAGTACCAGTTAGTGATGCTAGAAGCAGCCCTCGTTGACAGAAATTGGTGTATAAACATCCAAGCTCCTTGGCCTTCAGATGGGACAACTTTGAGGTGTAAGCTACAAACACAAGGGACAGATAGAGTGTCCTGACTCCCCCAGAGGGGCTGAGACCAGTTGCTCACAGAAACAATGCACTCATCCTGTATTGGCTCTCTTTTTCATCTCACTCCTGGGTTCACCGTCCAGATAAACTACTTACACAGGAATCCTTTCTCTGGGGAACACAATCTCAGACATCTGGTGACTGTGCAGATGAAGGCTACATGCTAAGGATGGAAAGAAATCTAGAAGTCCTTCGATAAAAAAAGACTTGGATGGAGCTCTTGATGCCAAACTTGGGCTCCTGTTCTAGCCTTGGGCTGTTTCTCTGGACTTTGTGTTACTTGAGAAAAATAAACCTCTTACTTGGGTAGGCCACCACAACTGGGTTTCCGTGGCACGCAGCCAAATGCAACTGTAACTGAGAGACATCTGGAGGAATTCTCAGTTGAGTCCAAATGCAACCAGTCATCAGTTGGACATGGCTGCTAATAAAGCTGACGCTATGGCTATGTGATTACCAGACCCTAACACTATACTGTGTGTCATAACTTGCAGTGTGTGCTTACATGGTGCTGTATTTAATCCTCACGTTAATTTTGTGAGGTAGGTGTTATCAACTCCATTTTATTGAAGTCCAGAGAGGCCAAGTCCCAAGATACGGGCTAGGTGTTCATTCTAAGGAGTCGGTGGCATTTAAGAAATGAGTTGACCTCTACTTGTTCTCTGCCTGTGTCCTGAGATCCTGTGCTTTTCCATGCCTGCTTCACTGCCGTGGGACTGCAGACATTTGCTCTCCTCACTGCCACACTTCATCACAAACTCTACACACTGATCATAAGCTCTGTAAGACAGGGGTCCCCAACCACCCCAGCCTCAGACTGGTACCCATCTGTCAGCGGCCTGGGCTGCACAGCAGGAGGTGAGCGGTGGGGGAGCTAGTCAAGCTCCCTCTGTATTTATAGCCACTCCCCATTCATCCCATTACTGCCTGAGCTCCACCTCTTGTCAGGTCAGTGGTGGCATTAGATTCTCATAGGAGTGAGAATCCTACTGTGAACTGTGCATACAAGGGATTCAGGTTATGCACTTCTTATGAGAATCATCCTGAAATCATCCCGCCCACCCTCACCCTCACCCACCCACTTCCCCTGTTCCCAAAAAGGCTGGGGACCACTACTCTAAAACATGTGCTGAATCCTCTTATCGCTAGGCCTTTGCTCAAGCTCTGCCTTTCCTAAGAATGCTTTATTTTAGCAGTGGGAAACTGCTGTACTTAGGCCAGGTGAGGATGCTCCGGTAACTGCATTCTCATGCTAACTGTAGGTAGGACACCCATCTCAGTATGGCTTATAGCACCGAAAACATATAGATGCTTAGCAAACATCTGTAAAATTTAAATGGGTAGACACAGTAGCATCCAAGTTAACTTCAAATTTACTCCTGCTCAAAATCATTAACATCAAATTCCACCACACATAAAAATGAATACATCCCCACAGAAGACTTCAGACGAACAAAATATACTCCACTGAACATTTAATGCATTACGTTCAAGTACAACTTTTTTTTTAAAAAAAGGACAAAATTGTTAAACATTCATTAAAATGGTAACTATTTAAACATCATCTGAACCATATTAAGTAGCTCATTTATTTTTATGAAATGTGTTGAGAACCTAGGAGTTTATACATAAGGCTTAGCATTTTTTTAACACTGCCGGCCTAGGAGAGAAAAGATTGTATTCTTTAAATGGTGATTCAGGAAATCTGATATATTCAATACTTGTGTTACAATAGCTGGTGTGTGGAGGCAAGACTAGCACCCATGACTTGCTGGGCCCTGGAAACAAGCATGCCATGCTCCCATGCTGCTCAGGGATACAGAATACAAAATCTGACCTAGGGTGAAACCACGTGCAGGGCGTGGAGAGGACTATGGCGGGGGTTCACTGAGGACAAAAGGGAAAGCTGTGAATTTTCACTTTAAAATATGTGTTAAGTGAGGTGAAGAAGCTAGGAGCCTTACAACTATTCCGTGTCAGCAACTCCCAAGATACTTATATCAAGGTGGCTGGGAGGATGGGGAATACATGTAAATCCATGGCTAATTCATTTCAATGTATGACAAAAACCACTGCAATGATGTAAAGTAATTAGCCTCCAACTAATAAAAATAAATGGAAAAAAATAATAAAAATAAAAATAAACACACACACAAAAAAAGAACTAAAGTGTTGGAACAGATACAACTTTGAGGATAGGTTTATCAAACAGCTTATAAACAAGTGGCATACCAATTCAAAAGATGCCTGACTGGTAAGGAATTTCAGCTGGCAAGGAATCTCTAAAAATGTTTATATGTCTTGTCTTGGTCAATTTATTTTACAAAGCCAGCATTTCATTTCACAAAGATGATAAGGGTCATTAAATCCCAATACAAGACAAAATTTATAAATGACATGACAGAACTATTGCAAATCCAATTTGCTGAGTAAAGGCATGTTCACCAATTATAAAATCTAGCAAGACAGAAGGATAATTACACCACTACTATTGTCAAAAGACTGTTAGACTGTAGTTGAAGTTCAAAAGGTTAAGGATTTTACAAAAAGATAACATGAGCATTAATTATATACGAAGAGTAGTTGATTAATCAGCTAGAGAAAATGTTAGCGAGTGTGATTTTCTTCCTGTGAACAACTATTTCAGATTTAGAAAGTAACACCGGCTCCACTTAAATTTTGACTTACTTTATCAGTGGCACCGTAACCTGGAATACTCAGAGTAAGCCAATTACTTTGGCCACTAAATTGTCACCATTACACTTCTAAAGTAATTTATCCAGGATACACTAGAGTAGCCTATACTTGTTATACAGTATTATGCAACTTATAGTTTTTTCCTGAATATTTCTTGTTATTTTTTCCAAGCTCTGTTTCCTAGGACTTTGATCATTAAATATGTCTACCTTAAGGTTCCAAATACCTATGTCTATTATGAAAACATGTGGGGGTAAATTCATTTTCTTTAATGTGACAAGCTACATTCTTAAAAAGGACCCCAAACCTGCTATATTGTTACAAGTTATGAAGTGCTATCTAAAGATCTGAGGGACGTTCAAGGGACAGACTCAGACCTTACAAAGTGATTTTAAAGAATTTTAAATTCTCAAGAGAAACATTCTGGGAAGGGAAGAAGAGTTCTATAATCTAGGGCATGTTCCAGAGCCCTTGTTCTCATAGCCAAATGTATGAAAACAGTTTTCTTTAAAGGAATACAGGTCTGTGAGCCAAGACAAGATTTGGCTAAATGATTGGTAGCTTTTGTTTGGCTCTGGAGGTTTCCATGGAAACAGCCTGAGAGACAGAAAAGGCAGCATTATCGTCTTTATCTGAAATGCCATCTGATAAAACTGAATATTGATTCACTCATACTATCCAGAACAGATGTATTACTTCTGATAAGCCTTTACAAAGGGAGGCAGGAGTTCTATCTAGTCACACTTCAAATTTCCTGTCTTCCTTCATTTGAAACCTTAAATTAAAATCCTGATAAAACCTCCCCTGAACATTTCCCTCAGGAGCCTCTAGTTCAAGTAAAGCTTCAGTAGTCAGAAGCCAAATGAAGAAATGTGAAGCACACGGAGCTCCACTGCCGAGTTCTTAAAATTGTATGATGCCAAGCTCACTGTAGTTGAAGAAATGACTCTGAAGAATATTTACAATTCCATTACCTCAGATCTCAGCCGGGCAACAAACACTGTCCAAAGTGTTTATTATACACAGTTGAATCAGGTGGTATCATTCATAATTTTTCTCCCTCTTTATGTCTAGATCATTTGTATGTGTGTGTATATATATACCTATACATCTGTATTTATATATTTAATATAGTAACACACCCCACACACCATTATCTAATCTTATTTCAGGTTAGTGCTTCTCAGAAAGGCCACAAAAGCAGCCCTAGCTTAAAATTCTACATCTGATGTACACAAAAATAAAAACCTCAGCAACAATAAAATATAAACAAGACAAACAAGGTAAGAAGGCATGCAACCTTTAGCACCGTATTTAAGACGATAGAGTAAAGAGTGTTGACAGAGGTCCAAAGAGGAATTCAGCTGTGGGTTTTCCTCTGGAATGAGCTCCCAAACACAGAACTGTCTCTTAAGAGTCCAGTACTTTTAAAAAGGGAAAGCCTGAGAAATTCTATTAACAGAAATGTAAAAATCCATAATTTACCAGAGACAGATGATTTGACACTGCTTCTTATTCTAAAAACAATGAAGACATTATTCTTTAGGAACAAATTTTTCACTTTGGAAGATCAGCTGAGAAATCACTGCCAGCTCAGTGAGCTAAATGATGACTCAGTACGTTAAAAAGACTGCTATACCCTCACAAGGACCAACTTACTCATGAAAAGTAGCTTACTCACGAGCAGTTATGTCTCTGATATCTGTATAGCAATATATTCAAGGGCGATACGGGAAAGATTCAATCGAGCATATACAATTGTATGCTCCACCAGCAAGACATCCGAAAAACACCCACACCTCTATGCATAGCATTGGTGCGGGAATCCAAATCACAGAATAAAATCTTAGCTCAGTCCTTTCTGTAAAAAGGGACTCAAAGTCTAGGGAAGGGTTTATTAAGAAATGAGCTGAAGATTCTTATAGTTTAAAGGTGGCAGGTAAGAAGTCAGAGGGCTAGAAAGGACTTCAGATATCATCTAGTGCAAATCTCTCATCTTACTGGTGGGAAAACTGAGGCTTCAACAGAAGTGTTAGCTTTAAACAATGAAAGAACCATGACTAGAAAAGTCACGTAATTTTGGGTGTGGTACTTTCCCTGTTACACTGATCTCTCAGACCCCTTTAAATCTTAATGTGTATCATTTAATAAAGCTTGGGGAAAATGACTGAGAAAGATCAGATAGGAAAAATGCTGGATTTTAAGAAAGATTTTGGTAATAATTCATGTTCTGATAGGCTTAATATTAATGAGGGGGGAAATCCTACTTATTTTTTGGTAAAAATGTTATTTTCTGCATGAAACATGTTTTTTTTCTGCAAGCTGTTTTTGTAGGTATGAGGGTAGCTCACAGCTGGCAGCTTTCATATGACCCATCTTTGTAGTTAGAGTTCGATTCGGTAGATCCTGCATCATCAGGCGGGCTGAAATGACTGCTGTCTTGAGAATCAGTACCAATACTTTTCGTCTCTGACTGAGGGTGGACGGAAACTTGAACTGCTATCTCCTGGCCTTGTTCACTCAGGGAACCATCATCTGAATCTCCTCCTGGTGAATTACTCCGGCCCATCCCTGGGTTAATGACAAAGATGCCATCTTGAGCATTCAAGGCAGGTCTGTCTTTAATTCTCTCTCCCATCTCATCAGGGTCATCCACTCGCACAGCCTCAAACATCTCCTCTACAAAGGCCCGGCAGTTTAGAATAAGGGGTGGCAGAGGGACGCTTCTTGCCAGTTCTTCGATATAACGAGCAAACTCCATGGTTTTAAATTGCGTGACTTTGGCGAGTTCCAGAGTCTTGGCCGAGGTGATGATGGGGATGCGTTTTGCAATCTCAAAGGCCTTCTGAAGTTTCTCTGCCCCTTCAGTTCGGAAGAATTCATTGATGGCTTTCTCAGTTTTACGAAGATGGCTGCTCATCATGCACAACCGTGTCACATTCAAGATGAGAGTGATTGTAAAGGCAATCAGGCAAACCACCATATAGTAGACACTCATGTCTCCCGAGGTGAAGATGACACGCAGGGTGACCGAGTAGGAGGCACGGGTTGGAGAGGTGATATAACACGTATAGAGCCCACGGTCGGCAAAGGCTACGTTGGTGATATTCAGGAAGTTATCAGAAACCAACCATTTTCCACCTGATAACCCAACAGAAATGAAAAATTACAGCATAAAGAATACTATTACTAAATATGCAAACTGCCTTATCAATATTCCACCTCTTCATTAGAGCACGTTACATCAACTCACCTATTAGGTTCTGCTATTTCGTTAAATGATGTAAGAAAGGGCAGACTTTTACGTTCAGAGTCTGAATTTTAAACAGCCTGGAACTTAAAAAAGGGAATCAAGATCTTCCTGAAACTAATGATTATCGTGGCTGCCTTTTCAGTGCGAGATGTAAGACACCATTCAGGGAGACAGGTGTGTCAACATAATGCTAAGTGACTAACCTTAAAAAGAAATGTTTATATATATGTGTGTATAAGTGTCTATATCACAGTCTCTACCTACACCTTCTCATAAAGTAGAAGGCTATGTCTCAGAAATACAAAACAATGGCTATTTATAGGGTAATGAGTAATTTTTACTTCCTTTTTAACTTTCAATAATTTACTGTTTACTTATTTACTTAAGAAAAGACAAAATTATTTCTAAAAAACCCTACCAATTTAATGTATTTGTTCAATTACTAACTGGCTAATCTGGCATGCCTTGCACATGTTAATTTGTCTTGTTAGAAAAGGTTGGTTGATGATAACATCTTGATTTTCCGGCCAGAGTAAATAAAGCATAAGCCAAAAGCGATGTCTCACAAGTGAGGGTAAATGAACAGCTTGGCAGACAGAATAAAAGTTACCCTGAGATGCCTAGGCTTCTATTTTAAATTGAAAACATACTGCCTTTCTTCCATACGTGAAGGTATCTTCATTCAGGAATGTGTATACAAACGTACATGAGTATGAAAACCAAAGCACAAGGACCAACATCCTTTAATAACTTGGCTCTGCCTGCACAGTTCTCACCTAAGTTCTCAGTGTATAAGCCATTCAAAGATAGGACAGATGGGCTAACATGGGGTGTAGGGTATGGGTCCCCAGGGCTACAGGTGGTATCCCAGGGAAGGCTGTCTGACTGCTTGTTAAGCACCGCTTCAGTGCCTCATCTTCCAGCTCCCTTTCATCCCTGAGATTCTATGGTTCAGGATTTAGGGGCACTTCAATTAGTAAGTACTGTGGACCGTGCCCATTCTTATCTACATCAAAATTTACCTAAATTCTGTAGTTATATTTTTACTAATGTAAAAAGAAGAGGAAAACATGTAGCTGTGAATATAGTCATTATTTTACAAGCTTCTGTCTATAAACCTGGAGCTATAAAAAAGATACCCTGTGAATCCACAGTATGATGAACTATATACATAGACTCCATTCATCAACCACTATAACCACAATCTAAACTCTCTAGCTCACTTGCTGATAATAGCTCAAGATTTATGAACCTTATGCTAGACTGACATGCTCTTTAAACTCCTCTCACTTGAGATTCATAAAATTTAATACAATTGTCCAGAGCTGCTGCTGAAAGCATCAGTGATAGATGTTAGCGGTTTTCAAAGTAAAGGCAAAATAGAAAAATAAAACTGCCATTCTACTTGGCTGGTCTCCTAAAATCTGTTTACATGACCAGTCTATAATAATCACACTGACTGAGTAACTCACATCTTGGATGTGTTTGTCAGGACCCTAGGGCCAAAAAAGATGAGTCTAGTTCAGTGGATCCAAATAAGGAACCCCAAATCATGTTCAAAATACATGTTCAGGGCACCACTCTAGACATTCTAGCTTAACAGGTCTATATTCTTAAGAAGCTCTGTTCTTTCTAACATTCTAACTCTTCAATTCCTTGGTGGCCAGTTACTCAGTCTGTAGAAGGTTAAAATGTTTAGCATATACTTTAGAAGGAAGCACCATCTGTCTCCTTTTCTGTTTTCCAGTCTAATATAAGTAGCCAAATATCCTTATATTCCAAGAGATTAGACTATCTTTCTAACAGAAAATACAAGCAGGCCTTTTCCAAAGTGTAGCTTGTGAGGATACCATAATTTAATCTTTATCCCATTGATAGTTCATGGCGATTTCTAAGGTGTTTTAACACAGGTAGTCTTCAAAAAAAAATCTAACACAACACTAGTTAAAGGAAACAATATTCTGATTAAGATGTGTTCACAGGTTCTTAAATAGCAAAATCAAATAAAAACCTGTCAAAAGGTAGACCTTGGTCACCTTTCTATGATGTCTGTATGATTTTTTACGACTGAGAAACAAAAATATATAAGGGAACTTTCCTATTTTCACACAAATTAAGGTACAGAATTAAAAAGAGAAATGAGCTGGAAGGGCTTATAAAGTTCCTCCTCAGTGCCCTTCTGATTCTCAGAGGGACTTGATCTTTATAACCATTTTAGAAAATATCCGGGATTTCCTCCAACATTTTAAGTAACTCATTTTGAGTAAAAAAAAAAATATTTACAACAAGTTTACTTAACCAAAATCCTTCTTGCTCTACTCATCCAGGGCCAGCACACTGTACTACTCACATTACAGTCTAGGTAACAGTGCCCCCGGAGCTGTGCAGTTCAGAGTCCACACAGCTGTGGGCAGCAACCCTGATAGAGCCAACCTTGAACGAAGACGGAAACCAGTTCGCCAAGAGGGGAGAAAAGAGCTCACCATCAATATGTGAACACTTCTTAAATTTGTAAGCATACTTTATTTTTTTTCTTCTTCTGGTTCAGTAATTACCATTATTTCACTTTTCCTGATAGGTCTAAGACCCCAGGCCTTTCAAAAGTTTTAACTATTTATTGTAGTACCTCATCTTGGAGATTTCTTGTTGAAAATGTCATAAAACCAAGATTGAAGTAACAGGAAATGAGTAACTTTGACTAATTATACTCTGGGATAATTACCTCTGTCTCTGTCATCCAGCTGCTGTCCTTTTGAGTTGTACCAAGAGACCTGTTCATAGCGGTCGACTGTGAGGAGACACTTGATTGAAACACTAGTTCCTTCTCTGGCTATGATGACATCATCACCAGAGTGGGAATCCGATGAGAGTTCAAAACTTGGAAGAAATGATGCATTGGAAGAGCTGTGATTTGTTCCCAGTGGGATCATTTGGTTGAAGTCTACATCTTCCAAAGCAAAAGCAGCTGGCACAATAACACTCACCACTAAAGTGGATAAACAACGAAGTGGCTTCATGGGAAAATGGGAGAAAATCTTGTTTATATTTGGAGAACTCAATAGCTTCTATATCATAACAAGAGCACAGTGGGTCACTGATTGCTTGGTACTGGAATTTTCCAAAAAAAAAGGCAGATCCAGGTATATTCTGGAGTCTTCAAGATTAACAGATATGAGTAGAGACCAACCTGAAAGAGAGCCAGATATAAAATTTAACCAACAAAGACTCATAATGGAGTGAAACTCTATGTTCAAGAAATAAATAGATGTGAAACTGATTAGAATAATTGACATCAATATTATGAAGTGAAACAGTGAAAATATCACCTAAAAATTTCAACAGTCAGTAGAAAGAACACTGAACTGGGAAATGGCAGATCTAGATTCTGGTATTAGCTTTGCTAATAACTAGCTGTAAGCCCTTGGCAAATAGCTATGCTTGTTTTCTCATGTGTCAAACGGGGACTAGATGAGACAATCTCTAAGGGCTCTTCTAGTTCTGAAATGCTGTGATTCTATTTCACTCTGACAAATTCCATGCAGGCGGGAGCCAGTGAAGGTTAAAATATTTAACTTAATGATCTTTTATTCCAACCTGCACCATTACCATCTGCTGTTATATCAATAATGTAAATCAACTGCTACATAATAATTGTAACCATGGAGTTCAAAATTTGAGTAATTCAAGTATACAGACATTAGACATAAATAATGCAGGGCTACTTGAAGTAGTTTTTTTGTTGTAATATTAGAAAACTGCACCACTATGCATAAATAAATAGTTACTGATTTTTGAGGCTATAGAAATTCCCTCTTGGGCAAGAACATTAAACAAAAGAATTTTCCTTTAATAATTTCTTCAATATCAAGAGATAAAATACAGTATATTTAATAAGCTTGTAAGAATACCAAATTTCTAACTCAAAGTCTATAAACTAGCTATGGGAGGAATTGACACCTTAAATGTCTAGTTAGCAGAAATACAAACTACAGACAAAGATTATTAAGACATTTAAAAGAAGAGTAGAATATCACAAATAAAAGCAAAATAATATTCCAGTTCAAGAATCTATGTGATTATGATCAACTTCCTGGTAATCTGATTCCTCTTTTAAAATCACTGACTCTTAAAGAAAAATTTCATTGAATTTCTATAAAATATGGGATGAAACACCTAGCTTTATTTCTTATAAGGGCCAAACTAAACAGTTTTGGAAATGACACTTACTTCCCTGTATACTCATACAAAAGCTGCTTGATCATGTAACACAAAAAGCAACAGATCATTGTATTTTACCATTAAACTGCTCAGTCTAAATGACAGTTAAGTTGTAAATATCATTTAAATTTCATTAGTCCTTGAAAGGATGGTTAGATGATGACAATAATTTTCTCTATCTTGCAAATTTAAGGAGGGACCATTTGAAGTAAAACAAAGAACTTCAGAGTTTGCTATACATAATAGATGAACACTGTGTTTTCATTTCTTCCCCAAATCCCGTTAAAATGACATAAAGCTCTTGGGCACTGAAGGGGGATTACAGAAGTGATCTGATCTAACCTCTTCACCTTCTTGACTTGCTCTTCTTATTATATAGTAAGCAGGAGATTCCTGGCCTCTATTGGGAGGGAGTTGAGGGTGGAAACAATGGAAATAAAAGTTTACAAAATGACTGAAGTAAGCCAGGCACTGTGCTCTGGCTTGATATATATAAGCTCTCAACTTCTTTTCCACTACAACTGGCAGATATGATTTTTGTCCTTTATTCTAGACTACTGGTTCTCAATGGTGATAGGAAATGAATGTGATGAAAAGTACTCCAAGTTTCACCCAGGACTTCCATATGGAGATTCTGTGGCTTCATCCAAGTTGGCATTTCCCAAATTGCATTCATTTCTTCTACTGTCATGATTTGTTTAAAAACTGTATCTTTTATTATTTTTTATGCTTTTCTTAAAATTATATTTTATGCTTTTCATAAATTATTATTTATGCTTCTCTTAAACTCATTGTCTTTCACACATGTATTTTAAAAGGAAAGTCTGGATAAGAGTCTGGATGAAAGTAACTGTACCCCCCGCACAAGGCAGACAAAGCCATGTTTTTAACTTGCAGAGATACTGCTCTCTGTTGACGGCTCTGAACTGCAGGCCTGCTCTCTTTGCAGAGAAAACAAAACCTCCCTCCCTCAACTCCAGTTGATTCTAATAGCACCTCATTCTTATCCTGCCTTTCTTTTCCTCCCCACTGCTTCCCTCCAGAGTCTACAACCCACTATCTTAGACTAGGGGTATACATTTTCATCTATTCAGCAGTGTCTACTGAGTACTTACGATGTGCCAACCTACTGTACCACAGACACTGTCTCTGCCTTCATGGAACTGTCAGGTGGAGGACATGGTCATTAAATACATACAAAATACACTAAATGCTACCTGAAGGAAAAGTACAGGATGCCATAGAGAGCTAACCATGTCACAGAAAGCCTCCCTGAGAAAGTAAAGTGTGTGACAGTACCTGGGGGATAAATGGGAATGGAGAATGCTGGGGGGAGCCGTCGAGGTAAAGGGACACGGGGCAGAGAAAAAGCAGATCCGTCACTGGTCAGGGAGGTATTCAAGAAAAAGAGCTACAGGCAGTCATGACAGACGGTGGCCGCAGAGTCATGGGTCTCATTCCTGACCTGAAGGAGCAGTTTGGTCCAACAGCAAAACTGGAGATAAGACTCTGGGAACTGGAGTGGGAGGCTGAAGTGAGCGAAGGAGACTCACTACAATTAATAATTGTCCAAGGTGAAGCAGTCAAAAGAATTGAGAGGCTCAAAAGTGAGGTAGATCACCTGTGGGGGTGCTGTCACCCCAGGATCAAGGAAGACACTGGGAATGGAAGAAATGGACTCACTCTTCCTGCTCTAAGATGTAAGAATTTCAGGGGAATGAACAGCCTCCATGTGAGAGGGCTGTGGGGCAACAGTGTCCTGGCAGTGTTATTGCAGTGTGGAATTCCTTCTTCACTCAGCTTCCCCGAGCCTCCTCTCAAGCCCTGCTTCTTCTTCCCATATAGATCAGGAGTTCACCTGGATGCAAGATGGCTGTCCCCCGATCCCTGTGGCCCTCACCGCTACACTGCTAACCTGGCTCTGTACTGCCAGGCAGTCTACTCCATCTCACCTGTGAGCCTCTTAAGCACAAGGGCTGTATTTTTTAATGCTATGTGTCATAACTAGCACATACTCAACAAATACTTAATGATGAAGAATGGTTTAAATATGATCAAGTATGTGATGGATCTTTGTAAACTGACAAATGTTATACAACAGGGATTATAATTATTCAGACACACGTGCATTTACTAGCACTCGTTATTATTCTCTGAGACACAAAGAGCAAAAGATCTTAAAGGCATAATGCCTAAATGCACTCCTTGAACCGACCACTAACCCTCAATGTCTTCACTTACCATCGTGTCCTACGAAATAATGGTGGGAATAAAAGATAACCAAGTCCAGTTTCCAAACCAGGCTGAACATCTCAATCTCCTAGAGAACTTGTTAAAAATAAAGATTACTGGGTCCCACCCCAGACCAGTGAATAAAAATCTCTGGGTTTGAACCTTGGAATTCATGGTTTTTAATTAGCTCTCTGGGTGATTCTGAGGCAGAGGGCTCATGGACTAGCAACCATTAATATACTTCCTCATTTCCTCTGTAACAGCCCTACTTAACGGTGCTTGACTGTCTGAACACTTTCAGCACAAAAGAACTACCACTCAGATTCCACTCTGGATTAAGTTCACCCTGGAACCTCATACTTGCAGGCCTCTGATAGGCAGGGTGGCAGAGAAGTTCCGTGAACAGATTCCCTAACCAGGTTTCCTAGGCTCGATTCCTGGCTCTGACTCTAATCAGCCTTGCAACTTTTGTTAATGACTTAATCTCTCTGTGTCTCAGTTCCTTCATCTTTAAATGAGGGAAAATAATAGCACCTATTTTCACAAGACTATTGCAAGGTCTGAAAAAGACAGTATGTAAAAATCAGAGTCTGGAAACAGTCATCACTGATAACTCTAGTTATTATTATTGTTGATATCGCTTTGAGTGCTAAAATCAACACTTTAGGGCAAAACCATTCTTTAAAATATATAAAACACTTTTACTTGGAATATCATGCAACCATTTAAAAACTTTGCAGGGGGAAGGGGTAACATCATAAGGTAACTTCAGTCTTTAATTTTAAATTTCACACTCCTCTCTTTCTCAATGCAAATATTTCACAAAAACGTGGATCAAATAGGCATTGTAAAGGGACCCTGGAGACCAACCATGTTACATTGTTTTCACCCTGTCCTGAGTTTGTGCTAGAGAGCCTTTGTTGTTCCTTTTTTGGAGCTCTGCCTTCTTGGATCCAGGAGGAAGTCAACTCACTGACTAAGAAGAATCTTCCCTTGAATGTGGACTGAGACACTGTGGCTTAGGGACATTGGAGGAAGAGAAGGATTACAGGGAGCTGAGGCAACCAGGTTAAAGGACAACGGGGATGGAGAAGCCAGGAGATGGAGGCTAGGGAGGCGGGTGGTGGTGGTGGAGTTACAGAGGGGAGGAGAAAGAGAGGCTCATACATGCTGCTCTGGCTCTTGACAGATCTACTTCCTGGCTCCAATAAGACTTTTTTTTAAAAGAAATAAACATCTTTATCTAATTTCATTCAAAATTAAAACCACAAAAATGAAAACTGAATGTGCAAACAATCAAAGAAATGGAGAATTGGCCAGGTGGGAGGAAGAATATTAAGTTCAGCAAAACCTGGAAGATAGGAAAAGAAAGGGGTAACTATATATAAGACAGGGAGAAGTACTGAACAGAAGTGTAATTGTGCTCTGAGCACAAAAGAGAAAGGGAGACTTCATAAATTTTAGGAATGCAATTAAGTTTTAAGTTTGGGACTTTGTCTATCATGCCTGTTATTCTCAATGGGGCAGCTGGCATATGGAGGGTAAGAAGAGTTCAAAAAGGAAAATCAAAGTGCCACTTCCTGTAAACAGTTAAAAAGAGCTATGCTATGCTTGTGGATGAAGCTACTTAGTAGAATGTTTTATTATCTGTCTTCTGCATGAATAGGAATAATAGAAGAGTGTGATATTTAAATTTAATCTAACTCCTTTTTCATCTTTCAGGTAAAGTGTTAGCTTCTCTAGGATCATGAATAATCAGAAATATAGATGATTTTACCCTACGGAAGCATTCTGGATATTGGCTATATCATTAAAAAAGAAGAAGAAAAGTGCCTAAGTTATCATCCCTAACAGACTGCCTTGTTGCTGTTCCTGCCAACTTCTGAGAGGAAATCTCTCCATTCTGTTCCAATTCTCAACAGAAGTGAATAAGGAAGCAACGTGGCTGATTTCCATTCTCGTGGCTCAATATTAAGTTGGCTGAGGAAATGGCTGTTTGCAGAAATAGTTCTGGGATAATTCAAAGGAAGGAAAAACACTGATGCCCAGATGGTACTGGTTTTTGCTCCAAGAATACTGGGATATTAATGGTTCATTCTCCATAATTAAATACATTCGAGTTGTATTTACTGCTCATCCACTCTTCTCTGCCTGCACTGTTACACTTGAAAAATGGAGAAGTTCCCTTACACAAGGCACACAAATGGTCAAAGTGACATTCTGAATTGGCAAAGGGGAGAAAAAGGAAATGAAGAGCAGACTGTTAGCACTCCTCTATCCTTTCAGAGAACAAACAAGAAGCTGTTCTGCTTACATGCAAGCCTTGCTATAGCAATCTGTAACATACAAAGGTTAGTAAAACACAAACAGAAATCACCATTTTGAGGGCCACTTTCCAAAAAGTTTCTAACTTAACATAGCCCTTATGCTCCCAAAAGAATCTTGGATCCTTCGTATGCTTCATCATTGGCGCTGGGGCACTCAAACGTCAGCATATTTTCTGGCACACTGAGGAGTGCCCTCTTCTGTATTTGCTGAAGCTGTGCTTCAGACCCAGGCTTATTTGTTATGCCCTTGACTATGATCATTTTTGCCATAAGCATCTGCTGAATCTACACAAAGACATTGATATAATAAACTTAGATTTATGATTTCCTTGCTCATTTTTTTCCCACTGTGGTCTGAGCCTACCACCCAGTATCTCAAACTCCAGGATAACTAAAAAAAGAGCTCTCTACTCTCACCCTCAGATCTACCTGTCTAGCATATACATAGTTTGAATGATAGCCACACAATACAATTCTCCCAGTTTTGCAAGATCAAAGTTACAGTATCATCATGGCTGTGTGGTGAGGAGTGTGGATTAAGAGTGCTTGATCCTATCCTTGTGGGATCCAGAGGCCTTAGTATACACATCTATTGAATAAGGTTATTAACAGTAACCACCTCATGGGGTAGTTGTGAATATTAGATGAACTATGTACATTTTAAATTCATGCCATTATCATTCACCTTCTCCTCCTTCTTCCTTCTAGATGTTTTTCAACTAAGTCCTACTGTCCCTGCCTTAGGTCACAGTCCTTTTAGCTTACCTGGGTACCACACTATCCTCTTAATTCTTAAATGGGTCTCCCTAATTCCCACCATATCCCTCTGTTGTCCCAAATATTGCGACCCTCAGAACTGGTCCTAAACACAAATCCAAAAAAGTCAAGGCAATTTTAAAATCTATTGGTTATTTTCCTCTACCCATGAGATAAGCTACAAATTTTATGGTATCCATAATTCTTCAAGAATAGATTCAGGTGGCAGAAGAGAAGCACCTAGATGGAGCCCAGCTGTGCCTACATGTACACTAATTCCTTTTTAAAGGAATGAATGGATTTAGAAGTCAAGTTTGGTCTTTAGTTACACCTGTCACTAATCAGTTATGATCTCTAGTGGTCTTAAGTTTTCTTACAAACTGATTATCGTTCCTATTTTCCCTTAAATCCTATAATTTCCCCAGCTTCCCTGTCATGGCTCAAAGCTTTAACTATATTTATTTCATTCTCTATTCTCTCCAAATAACTTTTCACTTAAAATTTTTGGTCCTAATGTCCCCTTTGCTTGAAACTTCCTGCCCTCCCCATCTTCCTGTGGAAATTAGACCTTCTCTACAATATCCAATGTGTTTTTGACCCTATTCAAGAAGCCTTCCTACCTAAGCTCTCACTCATCCTTTTGGATTTCAGATGAATTATTTTCCTGTCAGTCCCCTAGCACATTCACAGCACTCAACTGTAAGACTTCTCAGTTTCCTTCTTTTATCAGTTATCTGTATGTCCAAAAGACTGTAAGCTTACCAACCACAGAGTCTAAAATCCCCTTAGCAGGGCATTGCAATCAACATTCTGAATTCAGACATTCATCAATGTGGCAGTCAGAAAGGGACCTGCTATAAGTGTCTTACTGACTTTTTAGTCTCAGGCTCTGGAAATTGTTAATGAAGAGATATGAAATATGGAAACATAATTTTTCTCTCTCTTTTTTTTTTGGTGGGCAGAACACTCTAGAGTGAATTTGATCTATAACTCATTTTCTCAAAATGCAATTCTTAGATCACTTAAATAAAATTAATCTGGGTGCTTATTAAAGATGCAGATTTCTTGGTCCCACTGACTTAGCCTATATATCTTTTGTCATAACCATATTGTATTAAGCAATTCGCAAAATGTGTTGCAGGGGCCCCTGAGATGTCTTCAAAATGATTTTCATAACAATACTACAACATTATTTGCCCTTTCACTCTCATTCTCACACAATAGGTGCTGTTTTCCAGAGGCTACAATAATCAATGACATCACAAGAGAATGAATGCAAGGGAGGTATGAGAATCTAGCTGTCTTCTATTAAGTCAGATATCAAAGAAACTTGTAAAAATGCAAAACAATGCCATTTCTCTCAAAAATTTTTTTTGCAGGCGAACTATTCTTCACAGACATGCTTTTTATGTTAACATGCAATCAATTTAATTATTTTAAATAAGTAACTTTTTGGAAAATTTTTTTGACATCTAAAATGGCATAATGATAGATACAAGCCCCACAAACAAAACCTCTTCAACAAGTCTCAATAAGTTTTAAAAGTCTCAAGAGATTCTAAGCCCAAAAAATTGGAACACTTTTCACTACATTATCAACAGTATTTTAAAGATAAAACACAGTTAAGTGATTTACCAAATTTCTATTCTTAAACTCCAAATTCTATACACTTTCCATTACAATATAAGATCGAAAGAAAACACCTATTTTATACTTAGTGTTTTTAGTTTTGGGGGAATACACATTTTGAACATGTTCCCAGGTGATACTGATGCCCTTACATTTAGAGGACCACCATTAAAGCAAATAAACTATCTGAAGGGTTTTTGGAAGGGACAGTTAGGGTTCTTAAAAGGCCAGGTGCCTTCACCTCTCTGGGACTTAATTTTTCACACCTGTAAATCTGTACAATGAGGGTGCCTCTAACGTTTTCCTGGCTGTCAGTTTGGGTTTCAGGTATTATCACTGCCCAAGAGCAACTGAAGAGGTACATCTTTCTGATGAGGGGTCAGGGGTAATCTAAAGTCATAAAGCACAGCATATTAATCTTCAGCACAGAAGCCTTCAAATGCCTTTCCATTGCTTTTCAAATAAAAGTCAAAATTCTTATCTTGGCTCACAGACCCTACAAAATTTGGCCAGTTTAAGTTCCTGGTCTCATCTTCCTCTTTTCGCTCCACTCACAGTGGCCCTTTGCCTTTTCCTTAACCCAGCTCAGTTTGTTCCCATGAAGTCCTTCTGCTCCTAATACTCTTCAGCAGCTCTTCATACAATTTACCCCTCGCTTTGTTCCATCACTTTGTTCTGCTTAATTTTCTTTAAAGCACTTACTACCATCTTAGATAACCGTGTTTGTTTGTAAACTTATTTATGGTCGGTTTCCTCCACTAAGCTGTCAACTACTTGAGCACAAAGCCACAGTCTCTCATAAACCAGTGTCCCAAAGTGTCTGGCAGGTAGGTGGAGCTCAGTAAATACAGGATGGCCGAATGCCTGCAGCAGCCCAGGCCAGGCTTGCAAAACGGCCACGGATACGGTCCGGCGGCATGTCGGTCAGCAGGAAGATCTGGGCCGCTCTGTCCAGCCTGGCCCGGCAGTGGACCCTGGAGGATGAGTTGGAACAGGAGCGAGAACGCCGGCGGCGACACCGGACCAAAGCTTCGCCATGGACGACGAGGACCCGTCGGCCCCTGAGAGACTGCTGAGCGTGGAGGAAGCAGAGGGGCCCCGGCCCCAGGCCCCAGAGATGAGGAGGATGTCTGGGCCGTCCTAAGGATGCGGCAGGAGAGGAGGCAGAGGCGCCGGGAGGCCCGCGTCCCAGAGCCGCAGGCCAGGCAGTCGCCCCCGGCGCCCGAGGAATAGGTGCAGTCGCCGTCGGGCCGGAGACTGAGCCCAGAGAGCGGCTCCGCGAGGAGGGGGGTCTGGGGGGGCAGGGCGCCTGCGGGCTCCGAGAAGCCGTCTGCTGCGAAGACACTTGAGCCGAAAGCGAGCCTGGACCCTGAGACCCCCAGCCCCAGTAAATGTTCCATGTCCCAGAAGATCGCTGTGCTGGCAAAGAGAACCGTCTCAGGAAAGAGGGCGGTTCCAGACAAAGCCAGCGTCTCGGAGAAGAGAATGGTGTCTTAGAAAGCCACCGTCTTCGAGAAGACCCCGGCCCCCGAGACTCAGTCGGCCCCAGGCAGGGCCATGGCCACAGCGCGGTGCACTCGTCCAGCCCGGGGGGCAGCAGGGTGCTGGGCCTGAGAAGGAGCCCGAGTTCTCGGCTGGGCCTCTGCCCCGGGCTGGCGGCCTCCCGCCCGTCACTCTGCACGGATGCTGAGGCCGAGGTCCCCTCGCCGACACGGGCCTCGCCCACCTTCAGCAGCGCCCTGCAGCGCTCCAGCCCACGCACCACCTCCTTCCGGATGAGCCCCCGGAGAGACAGCTCAGAGGCGGCCTTAACCCGCAGCGCCAGCGTGAGGCTCCCGGCCAGCTCGGTCAAATTAGGCCCGAAGCTGGAGCGATACCACACGGCCATACAGAGATCAGAGTCCGTCAAGTGTGCAAGCCCGTCCCGCACTGAGTTCCTCGTGGCTCCCGTGGATGTCGCCAGCAAGCGCCACCTCTTCGAGAAAGAGCTGGTGGGCCAGAGCCGAGAGGGTCCAGCCTCCGGCCGCAAGGAGAACTTGCAGCTCTCAAGGGTGGTGACATCGCGGCTCAACCTGTGGATCAGCAGGACCCAGGAGTCAGCACAGCAGGGCCCGCAGAACCAGGAGACGCAGAGGGAGTCGGCAGCTGGCAGGAGCCCCCGCTGGGTGCCGAGGTGTGAGGAGCCAGTCTCAGGCCAACAGCCGCGCCGGTCGCCTTTCCCGCCCGCTTTCCGCCCTGGACCCGGGAGGACGCTGGCCGGCATCCTCCCCGCCCCTCTGGGGCAGGCGTGCCCCGCGCCTTGTCCGGTTGCGGGCACTGCACGACTACACACAGCCTCGCCACCCTGTCCACGCGGACTCCTGCTCTTCCTCCTCCTCCGGGGCCGTCGGGTCGCACCGGTGTCTACGTGCACCTCTCTCAGGCTGGCCCCCACCGTCCCTGCGCCGCCTACCAGGCTGGAGAAGCCGCACTGACCCCTCCCAGGCCCTGCCTCGCTCCCCTTCACGCCCCACCTGCTGCCCTGGCCAAGCCGTCCTGTGCCCCCTCCGCTGGACCAGGTTTGCAAAACTTCACGGATACTTCTTTTACTTCGTACCCTAACCCACCGGCTCAAACCCACATCTCGGCAGCCCCAGTAACTCCCCCAGCCCCTACAACGACCCCGAACTGCCCCTCACTCACCAGACGCCTGCCGAGCTCCTTCCGGCTGGATCTGCTGCTTGACCCGGAAGTTCTCTCGGTTAAGCGAGGCCGTCTCCACCCTGAAAGAGGACTTCCGGGGCAGTAGGAGCAGCTTCTTGGAGAAGGTAGTGGCGGCTGTGAGGGAGGAGGCGGCCTGGGTGAGGGGCTTTCCCGGAGGAGGCGGGCCGGGTGTGGGGTCCCAGAGTCGCCGCGGAACGGGAGGAAGCGGCCTGGGGCTGGGCGGCTGGCCCCTCGCGGTGGACGCTGAGGCTGCGGAAGTCCTTTGGTTATTGAAACGCTAAGCCCGTGTGAGGAATTCTCATCGTTGTTCGCGTCGGAGAATTTAGGAGCGCAGGTTTACGCCAGAACTCCCGTTGGGCACCTGTTCTTGAAATTGGGAAGAAGGCAGAGCGGATTTTGTCCGTCTCGAGACAAGTGGTTATTTTAGTAAAGATAGTAATGCTCCAGGGAACCACTTCGTACTAACAGCTGCTGTTACCGTGAGCGATTACGTGCCAGGCTCTGTTCCGAACCCCTCACGTCCACCGGGTAGTTTTGTCTTTCTAGGAACTCTGGCTTGTAGGTTTTACAGATGTGGAAGCGGAGACGCAGATAGGTGATTGATCCCACAGTCACTCAGATATAGAGATGGAAGTGTGTCAGCCTAACTCCAGAGCCCATTATATTACTGTATACTATATATAACATCTAATGTGTGTGTGAAGTACATATTACTGTGTGTTGTAGTTTGGTGGGAGCACCTGGATAGCAAAAAGATGGTAAAAGAAAAAGTAAATATGTGTATTCAGCTACAGGAAACATTGATGGAACTTTGTGCAAGAACTATGTAGCTCTGGGAGTTCTCTGGTGGTCCAGTGGTTAAGACTCTGCACCCTCACTGCCTTGGACTGGGGACCAGAGCAACTAAGATCCTACAAACCACGATGTGTGGCCTAAATAAATAATTTAATTAAAACAACAACAAAAATACCAGCTTTGTAGCCTTTCCTGTTAGCCCCCTTTAAGTAGGCATAAATTGTCTTAAATTAATTCCCAGTCTCCAAAATTTGTTATACAGTTCAGTTCAGTCTCTCAGTGGTGTCTGACTCTTTGCGACCCCGTGGAGTGCAGCACGCCAGGCCTCCCTGTCCATCACCAACTCCCAGAGTTTACTGAAACTCATATCCTTTGAGTTGGTGATGCCATCCAACCGTCTCATCCTCTGTCGTCCCCTTCTCCTCCTGCCTTCAGTCTTTCCCAGCATCAGGGTCTTTTCAAATGAGTCAGCTCTTCGCATCAGGTATCCAAAGTATTGGAGTTTCAGCTTCAACATTAGTCCTTCCAATGAATATTCAGGACTGATTTCCTTCATGTTTTAGAAATGTATGATGTATCATATAATGTATGATTTATCATACACTGTATGGTCTAGGATCTATGATGTTGTATAAATCTATCTTTCTAGCTTTATGCCTCCCCATCATTCTCCTCATAAAAACTACTTCCGGTATCTGTCCGCATTCCACACTGTCATATCTCAGACCTTTGAACTTTCCTTTGTGTTGTTTCCATACCCTTGAATTCTCTCTTTCGCGTCTTGATCTGTCAAAATCCTAAGTGCCCTTGTGCTGGCTCTGGCAGCACATACACTAAAATTGGAACCATCCAGAGATGGTTCAGGGGCTCAAGAATGACTCCCAAATTTATGAAGCCTTCCGTATTTTTTGGATATGCTCCAGTGTCTTGTAGTTTATAGGCCATGGGAACTTGAATTCGCATTCAACTGTTATGTGAAAATTGTATAAATCTTAATTATGTTGGTTTGGTTCACAGTGCTTTTCAGGTAGTAGACCTTCTGTTTCTCTCTATATTCATTCTATTAATGGATATTCATTTCTCTAATTCATTGTATTCGTGGATATTCATTCTATTAATATCCTTCTGTTTCTCTGTATATTCATTCTATTAATTTTTGAGTGTTTTATATTGAAATTCCAACTAAAAATCTTAGTTTATCACTTAAAAAAATAATTGTAATATATAGTGGATCCCTATGTAACCTTGTTCAGTTTTTCCAAGTCTTCTGTAACTGTGTTATCATGCTTTCGTAATTAAAAAAAAAAAAAAAATTAAAAAAGACCAAAGTCCTAAGTGCCCTTTAAGGCAGATGTTGCAAGTTCAGATGCCACAGAGGCTACTCGGGTAACATAAATGAATTATGGAGTTGGGTGGAGATTATGGGGATCTAGAGAGCACTACCCTGTCTAAAAGATCCCAGCAAATATTTGGCATGAACTAGTTATTACCAAGTTGAATGTGGGCCCAGTGTTGTCAAATCTTTCGGTTTTACAAAGGAAGTTGGAGATTTCTGTTGAAGTCTGATACGAAGTATATGAAGTCTGATTTTTAAGTGTTAATAACACCAATTAGTATAAAAAAGCGTCAAACACTCTGCAGGCCAAACAAAAACCTCTGTAGGCTTGATTTGAAGCTCACAATCCCAGTTTATGATCACTGTTCTGTGCTTTTTTCAGGTATTTAAAGTTGAATGTTTTTTCCTGATCCTCACATACCTTTCCTTGCTGCCTGTCCTTTAAAAATTTTCTGTGTACCTCAATTATAGTGCTCTTTACAGCCTGCCTCAGTTGTTATTATGTCTCTCTTTTTTAGTATGTTAGAAATGTTTTGATGGCATTGATGGATTGGGTCTAATTATGTGGTTAGATGGTATGTGTGTGAGGTAGTCTCCTCTGACTCTTTGCAACCTCATGAACTGCCCTTGTCCATGGAATTCTCCAGCAAGAATACTGGAGTGGGTTGCCATTCCTTTCTCCAGTGGATCTTCCCAACCCAGGGATTAAACCTGGGACTCCTGCATTGCAGGCGGACTCTTTACCATCTGAGCCACCAGGGAAGCCCGTAGTTAGTATATATAGGTACAAGATATGTGCTTATACATACTTAAGGTCTGGGTGTGTGTATGTATGTGTGACATGCATTTTTTTTCCTCCCCTGGTGGTACTTTGTTATCTCAGAAATCAGCATCTCCTGTTTGTAAATAGACCAATAATATCTTTGCCTTTATCACTAAAGATCTGTACTTCTGGAAGGAATTGAATTGGTTAACTTTGCTATTCAAAAGCTGGTGTGATGTAAATCTTATCCTGATAGCTGAAATTTCATAATCTTCTCTCTGAAAAATTGAGATAGGGATGATTAATAACTAATAAGGTTTTTTAAAAAAATGTCAGTAAAAGAAAAAGTTAGTAAATTGGACTTCATTGAAACTAAAAGTTTTGCTCTGTGAAAAACTATGAAGAGGTTGAAAAGATAAGCTACAAACTGGAATAAAATATTTACAAACCGCATGTCTGACAAAGGACTTGAATTGAGCTCTCAAAACTTAACAGCAAAAAGAAAAATCCAATTATGGAGCAAAAGATAAAAATAGCTGTTTCACTGAAGAGGATATACAGATGGCAAGCACATGAAAAGATGTTTAGTATCATTAGCCATTAGAGAAATGCAACATAAAGCTTAAACCCATATTAGCACACCTATATCAGAATGGTTCAAATAAAAAGTAACACTGCCAAATGCTGATGAGAATAAAAAGAAACGATTTCTTGTATATTGCTGGTAGAAATGTAAAATAGTTCAGCTACTTTGGAAAAGAATATGGCAGCTTCTTACAAAATTAATCATGCACTGGTCATTTATTCTAGGGAAATAAAAGCTTATATTCCCATAAAAACCTGTATGTAAATGTTTATAGGCATTTTAGTTGTAATAGGCCTAAACTGGAAACAGCCCGGGCATCCTTCAACACGTGAATGATGAAACAAATGAGATGCATCCATACCAAGGAACACTACTCAGCAATAAGAAGGGAGAAACTACTGATGCAACAACTTGCATGGATCTTGAGGGACTTTTGCTGAGTGGAAAAAACTCAAAAGGTTACATGCTGTATGATTGCATTTATCTAACATCTTGAAATGACAAAAGTATAGAGATGGAGAGTATCAGTGATTACTGTGTGTTAGGAGGTGAGTGGGAGTGGCTAAAGATAGCTAAAACACAAGGGATCGTTGTAATTGAATTATTCTGTATCCTGAGTGTGGTAATAATTACATGAATCTGTGCATGTGATAAAACTTCATAGAAGTAATTATACTTGCGTGAATGAGTGTAAAGTTGGTGAAATTTTGAGTTAGATCAGGGGGTGATATATATCAGTATCCTGGTTATGAAATGCTATAGTTACACAAACTGTTACCTTGGGGAAAATTGGGTGAAGGGTATATTAGAGCTCTATTGTTTCTTATACCTGCACGGGATTTAGTGATAATCTCAAAAAGTTTAAACAAGTAACAAGTAAAAAAAGCCTGTAATTAATTTTTTGGGGTGGGGGGCTTTTCTTTTACCAGGCAATGATATAATCATGTCGAATAAAGATGATCTTGAGAATGCAGTGATAACTGAAGCAACTCCCATCCGTGAAGATGAGAACTGTGAGCCAGCCAAGAATTTTGAGTCAGTTGACCAAAGTGCCAAGTCAGAGAGTAAATCAGAACCTGTAGCTTCTACTCGGAAAAGACCAGAGTCCAAACCTTCCAGTGACCTTGAGAAAGAAGTTCTCCCTGTTCAGGCATCACAGGCTGCAGGCAAAGTAGAGTATCTATTAATAAAACACTGAGATTAAAAAATGTTGGGGCTAAAAGGAATATGGAATCAATACCAAATTGGAATTATACTTATTTCCTTTTATAACCATAAAACACTAAATTTTCTCAGTTCTATAAATGCTTATGAGTAGTTGCCTTTGCTATTTGATGCTTACATGCAGGTAACATACGTCTGCCAGTCAGTACATTTCTTGAGCCACACAATATGTGTTTGTTCAGCCATACTTTTGGCCAGTAATTAGCTATCTTGTGTATGCACTCTGACTTTCCTCTAATTTTTCCATTTTTCTTTGCCTTTGATTTTTCTGGCTACTGGCAAAAATAGGAGACTGTTTCCAAAGATGTACCCCAGTCCGGATGGGGCTATTGGGGCAGTTGGGGCAAGTCCTTGCTTTCCTCAGCCTCAGCTACAGTAGCCACAGTAGGTAAGGTCATCAGTCATTTTGTTAATTTTTGTGTTTATTTTGCTACAGATCTGTGTTAAAAATGACTTTGTTAATCATTCTTCTTCCATGATTATGCAGAGGCTTTATACTTTGAGGATGCATTAGAATGATGGGCTGATTTATACTGCCACTAGAATTTGCAATTTTCATTAGAAGGTTGACATTTAGGAATTGTAAATATAAAGCTGTTTTTGGGGGGAAGAGATAAGGATAAACTCCCAAAGATCAGTTATATAAGGTCAAAGTAAAGTCTTGTAGTTGTAATGAATTTTAAAATCTGTGGGTTTAAATTTTGGTTTGTTTCTTAAGTTTTGGTGGCTAATTGCAAATAATATTCATATATGAAAATGTTATTTTCTCATCAGGACAAGGTATTTCAAATGTCATTGAGAAGGCAGAGACTTCCCTTGGAATCCCTAGTCCTAGTGAAATTTCAACAGAAGTCCAGTATGCAACAGGTCAGTGTATGGAAATGTTACAGCCTAGAATTATAGATTGAAATGGAATAGTTCAGCTCATTTCTTCAGTAGATGTTTATGGACTGTGATGTTCAGGGCATCATGGGACTGATGAGAAAGGAGACTTGAAATCTTTGACTGACAGAGATGTATGTCCTTTAACCACTTAGGTGTCTATTTTTCATTATTTATGCAAGGGGATGATATTTTATATTGCAGAGGACTGTTAAAAACATTAAATAAAACCATGAATGTAGAATGTAAAAATTGCCTAGCTTTTTGCTTAACACAGTTGAGTAAGAGTCTTAAGAGTTAGCTGAGTGTGAATCTGTTGTGGCTTGACAAAATGTTTTAATGTGTTAGTTTTGGTGTTGTTGCACTGTCACTAAAGTTTGGTTCATTTTTTTTAAGCCTTTTTTTTTTCCTGTCCTTCAGTTCGCATAGTTTTTGTTGTGTCTTTGCTAATCTTTTCTTTTGCTGTGTCTAATGCTATTAAGTCCACTCAATGACTTTTTTTTTTTTCACTCAATGACTTTTAAAAGGACCTGGGTTCCATCCCTGGGTTGGGAAGCTCCCCTGGAGAAGGGAATGGCTACGCACTCCAGTATTCTGGCCTGGAGAATTTCATGGATAGAGGAGTCTGGCAGGTTACAGTCCATGGGGTCACAAAGAGTTGGACACGACTGAATGATGTTCAGTTTCATTTTTATTATATTTTCAACTCTAGAAATTCCATTTGTTTCTTTTTTCTTTGAATTTTCCATTTCTTACCTTCTGATGTATTTATTTTAGTGTCCCTGTCTGCTAATACCGTCATCTCTGACATTTGAATCTGTTTTTATTGACTAGTATTTTTTTCTTGGTTATGGATCACATTTTTCATTTCTTTTATGCTGGAAATTAAACATGTTACATAGTTGAGTGGATTTTGTTGTCTTTTAAAGGGAGTGAGTTTTGTTTGGAGGGCAGTGAAGATACTGTATCTCGTGTGCGTGCTTAGTTGCTCAGTCATGTCCGACTCTATGACCCCATGGACTGCAGTCTGCCAGGTTTCTCTGTCCATGGGGATTCTCCAGGCAAGAATACTGGAGTGGGTTGCCATGTCTTCTTCCGGGGGATCTTCCCAGCCCAGGGATTGAACCCAGGTCTCGCACATTGCAGGTGGATTATTTACTGTCTGAGCCACCAGAGAAGCCCAAGAATACTGGAGTGGGCAGCCTGTCCCTTCTTCAGGGGATCTTCCCAACCCAGGAATCGAACTGGAGCTTTCTGCATTGCAGGCAGATTCATTACCAGCTGAGCTACCAGGGAAACCCATTTGTAGATTAGGTTGTTCTTTTTAAGACTTCATTTTAAGCTAATAGGGTGAATCTAGGGTGGCCTTTATAAGTGCTAGTTTAGCTTAGCTACTAAGCCTCTGACCCTTCTGAGGTTTCTATCTAATTTCTAGGTGTTTAACTAGGTCTGTCTACTTGATTGGTTGGAAGTCAAATATCTCTCAGCCTAGCATGAGCTTTGGGCATTGTTTAGTTTACAGCTTCATGGTCATTCTTTGCCCAGTATCATAGAGTCTTCCAATATAAGAATAGCTTAGTATTCAGCCAAAGACTCAAGGGCACGCCTGTGTAGATAGCTGTAAATCTTTACCTCTGTAGCTCCCTCCTCTCCAGTACAGTAAAGTCTGAAGATATTGTGGGTTCAGTTTCAGACCACTTCAATAAAATGAATATTGCAATAAAACGAGTCTCACAAATTTTTTTTTAATTTTTCAAGCATATGTAAAAATTTATACGTTATAACCTATTAAGTGTACAGTAGCATTATATCTTTAAAAAAGTGTACATACCTTAATTAAAAAATACTTCATTAATGAAAAATACTAACCATTATCTGACCATGGAGGGTTGCACAGACCTTGTTTGTTTAAACAAATAAAAAGTATTATCTGAAGAGTGCAGTAAAGTGCAATAAAATGAGGTATACTTGTACTCTGACCTGCAAATTCCCAGGCGCTTCAGCTTTCCTGGCCTCCTGCCTGTTTCTTCCACTTAGTAAGACTACCATGTTCTGCTTGGGTTTCCCTTCCTTGTGCTGTGATCTGGAAAGCAAACCAATCAGAATTCTCTTCATTTTTTTCTTTTCTCTCCTGAACCGTAGTCCAGTATAGTCTGTTGTCTAGTATCTGGAGATAATTGTTCTTTATATTTTGTCCACTTTTCTAGATGCTGTGGTAGAAGGGCAAGTCTGACATCAGATAATCCATCATAAAGTGAAGTCGCTCAGTCGTGTCCGACTCTTTGCGACCCCATAGACTAGCCCACCAGGCTCCTTCATCCATGGAGTGTTCTAGGCAAGAGTACTGGAGTAATTGCTATTTCCTTCTCCAAGGGATCTTCCCAACCCGGGGATCGAACCCGGGTCTCCCGCATTGCGGACAGATGCTTTACCGTCTGAGCCACCAGGGAGCCCATCACAGTTGGAAGCAAAAGTCCTCCCTACAGTAGATTATTTGTTGATCTCCTATAAGAGATTTTAGTGTTAATAGTACAGATTAAAAGTCTCCATAATACATGTCTGTGTCTTATGAAGAAGCGTAATTTTGTAGGATAAAGTTTAAAATAGCCTGGATTTTTTTTTTAAAAATCAGATTTATTGAGTTAATAATTTACATAAAGTTCACTCTCTTTAGGTATAGTCATCCCCTAATATCCATGGGGATTGGTTCCAGGAGCCCTCCAGTGGATACCAAAATCTTCAGATGCTCAAGTACTTTATATAAAATGAGTATCCACAGGTTTGACATCCACAGAACAGAGGGCCAGCTGTTCATAGTTTTATGTATTTTGAGAAACATAACAGTCCTCTTTACATTGTGTAATCATAGTCCATTGTGATTATTCAGATATAGAATATTTCCTATATCTGTATATACAGGACACAAGAATATTTTTACCACCCCCCATACCCCTTTGTAGTCACTCCCCTCCACCAGTTCTTCACTCTCAGTGACCACTGATCTGTTTTCTGACCCTGTGGTTTTTTTTGTGCAGAAAATCATGTTGTCTTTTATGTATAGTGAGTAGGTTGTTCAAAAGACTGGATTTTGTTTTGAAATAAAAATGAAAAAAAGTTGCCTTAGCTTTTATTTTAAATAGGCAAATGGTTTAAAATGCTTGAAAAATGCTAAGGCCTTGTATGTTGGAAGTAAGATCCGATTTTTAAAAATTCATATAGATGCTAATAAAGCAAACCTATTTATGGACTGTCCATGTTTACACATCCCTTCCTTACTATAGGAGAGACAAATGCCAAAGAGAATGGAAACTCCTCTCCAGTGAGTGGGCCATTTGGGGTATTCTCGACCATCTCTACTGCTGTTCAGAGCACAGTGAGTAAAAATTGCCAAGGTGGTCTGCTTCCTTCCATGATTACAATGGGTTTTGTCTCTCTCTCTTTTTCCTTAAAAGTCTTGGGGACTCATTACTCTTATGGGAGTTCAAATTGCTGAAGATCATTCATTTTGATCTTAAGTGTAGAGGGAGAGCTACTTGAAAAACTTAGAAGTAAAAGAGGGAGGAGGAGATGAGTAATGGAGAGGAAATGTACATAATATTTTATGGACTAAGAATTCTTAGTTTGTTGGTCCTAGAAAAACCTCTCTGCTTTACAAAAATATTTTTCTCATAATTAGATCTTTTAGATGAAGGGAAAATGAAATGTTTATGATGAATACTTATAAAGCCATGGATGATTAGAAACATTTTTGAAAGGATTATATAGGAAGCTTAATATCTCCTGCTTGACAATAGCTAGTACTTTTTATTTTAACTTTTTATTTAGTATAATCTATATTCAGAAAAATGAAATCATAAGTGTTCAGTTTTAGTTTGCACAGTGTGAACATATTCCGACTAAGAAACAACATGGTGGTGTATCAGATGTCTCCCCGTCTTCTCTACCTCCCTCTCTTGCTGTCTAAGGTAGCTACAGTTCTGTCTTCTACCAACATACAGTAATTTTGCTCGTTGTATAAAGAATCATAAAAAATGTACTCTATTGTATCTGGTTTCTTTCATTCATAATTATGTTTGTATAATTTATTCATGGTATAGCTGTGTGGTGTATTCCATTTTCTTTCTTGTGTTTCATTGAGTGACTGTGTAACACTCATTCCAGAGTTGGTAAGTGTTGAGGTAGTTTTCAGCTTTTAGCTTTTATAATAGTACTCCTGTGAGCATTCTTGTGTGTCTTTTGATGAACCTCTACACATTTTTTTGAGTATTTAACCATGGGTAGAGTTGCTAGGTCATAGGATATTCATATATTCAGACATACTCATAGTTTTCCAAAGTGAGTATACTGCTTTACATTCCCATAAGTGCAGTATGATTGTTTTAGTTGCCCCACTTTCTTGCCAGTTGGTATTGTTATCAACTATTTTACATGATCAAAACATGCAGGTGTCTTTTTTCAATGTTATTGTGACAAGGTTGCATGTGTTTCCTAGGGAAAGAGTGTTATCAGTGGGGGTTTGGATGCCTTAGAATTCATTGGAAAAAAGACAATGGATGTAATAGCAGAAGGGGATCCTGGATTTAAAAGAACCAAGGGTCTGATGAACCGGACTTCTACATTGTCTCAGGTACTATTTGCATTTATCTGTTTACTTTCTGTTTCTATTTTGATCTGTATTTTTGCCTGTGTTAACTTGGGACCTTGTTAGTATTTCCTTTTGAGGACTTTTTAGTGAATTTTTAAAAAATTTTTTTTTTTCTTTTTGATGAGAGGATGCACAGTTCTAATGCTTAGAAAAATGTGCAGTTTTTTTTTTTTTTTTGCCTCCTCTTTCCTTCCCTCAGAATGTCTTGTCAATGCAGTATAAGATGCCAAGCCCTTTTAGGGTTGTTTATTAGATTAACAGTAAAAAGCACGTTCAGAAAAACACTTGGTTCCTAGGGTGTTATTTACCTTGTGTAGGATCAAATTATATGATCGTATTTTCCCTGCAGCTTCTGAGCCTTTCTGATTTGAATCACAGTTCCAGAATGAAAGAGCAGTGTTATTCATCTCAGTTTTGCTTCCCTCGACTTTCAAAACTCATCCTTAAGCTTTTGTTACTTGCTGCAGTATAACGCCTCCACCTCTCTTTCAGGTTTTACGAGAGGCAAAGGAGAAAGAAGAACTATGGACTTCCAATGAGGTTACCATGGAAACAGACAAGAAAACTCATTATGGGCTACTCTTTGATGAATTTCAAGGCCTTTCACATCTAGAAGCTCTGGAGATGCTCTCTCGAGAAAGTGAAATAAAGGTAATTCCAAACCAAAAATTCCATCTGAGATAGTCTTTCAGTAAAAGCACACTGCATAGTCTCTTTTCCTTTGTGCAGTTGGAAAATGAAATGTATGTCAGGTAGAGGCTTGAGGCACTCTGAAAATACTGTGCCAAAACAAACAAACAAACAAAATTAATATTTGAATTAATTGCTAGAAATAGAATGAGTCAAATGTTGTTTCTCTAAATTGTTAAAGACAAATGGACAGATTAATAAAGATGTTTTAGTAGTACATCTATCATTTGTCCTTCATCTTGTTCTTTTTTTCTTTTTATAAGTTTCTTTGGCTTAAAATGCCGATTTGGATTTAGTTATCTGTTAGCTTTTAATTGATTCAAGACTATTTCATTTTCTCCTAATTTTTAAGCTGAGTTAAGCACTAATTTCTATACATTTCTGGTTTTATTTTGTTTTTGACAAGATGAAGTGCATTCAGGCTGGTATGGCTGTAGTGGTTTATATTGTTTTTGGAAGCACAAATTCTCCCTATCTTTCATCTTGTGTTAAGGTTCTTAAGAGCTTGTGAATTCATAATTTTAATTTTACTATAATATGTAACCTCTTCTGCATTTGAGAATGTTTTTCTTTTTCATGCTTATTATCTTATATCAATTCAGGTGAAATCTATTCTTAATTCTCTAAGTGGAGAAGAATTAGAGACTCTAAAACTTGAACTGGAGCAACTCAAAGAAGCATTTTCCCTAGCAGAGCTCTGTGAAGAAGAGGAGGAAGAGAAGAAAGGTAATATGGAAATCCACCATTTGAGTGGAAAGGATGTAGTGTGTTTATGTGCAGTACATATGTAGATATCAGTACATATATAACCATCATATGTCCTAAATATTTTATACTAGTCTTGCAAAAGTATAATTTTTCCTTGGAACTTTATGTACCTTTGAAACTAGCTTCTGAAGTAAGTACAGGGTACCTTGTTGGCTATTTATCAAAGAACTTGAACATGGCAGCAAATGGTCTGCGTATTGTATTAGAACTGACTTATGAGGAAAATCTCAATCATCAAGGTCAGCTTTTAATATCTGGGAAAATAAGTGGGGCTTTCTGCATAGCCCTGTGGCATTAGAGTCCGTATATGTTACTGTTCATTCCAAGTGAAGGCAAGAAGATATTGGTCACCAGGATGTACAGAGATACTGAAGAATGTACTGCAGAGATCTATCACAGAAAACAAGTCACTATTTTAGAAATATAGGACAGTAAGGTATGGGGGTTTGGCACTACAGAATGGCAAAGAATAATAGCATTGATAGATCTCAAGTCTTTTACAAATCTCTAACTTTTGCCATTAGGTTTTTTAACCTGCAGATTGGAAGTGTACAAGGTTTGGGGCAAGGCACAATATGCCCTGTCTCAATGTAAGCTGATAGCATAGATTTTTTTTCTTCTATGGCCTCCTGCCTGATGGGGTATTAATTAATGAATATTGGGCAGGGATTTATTCTGGTTTGTGGTAATTTTAATGGGTGATGTGGAATATATTTTATTTATTTTTAATTGGAGGATAATTGCTTTACAATGTTGTGTTGGTTTCTGCCATACATCAACATGAATCAGTCATAGGTATACGTATGTCCCCTCCTGTCTCCCACCCATCCCACTCTAGGTTTTCCCAGACCCCTGTATACAGCACATCTTCTTAAACCAATCATCTGGTTATATAATATCTTGCCAAATAGATAATATTTATATAATATCTTACTCTGTGTAAAGAGTCCTGATATGAAATGGTCCTTGAATATGAATTTTTAAAGCTGTCTTGACATATTGAGAAGACAGTAAGCATGGTAGATAAAAGGATGGATTTTGGAGTTAGACCTGGGTTCTAAATCAGGATCTGCCATTTATTAAGCCTTGTGACTTTGGGAAGTTACTTAACCCTGAGCTTCTGTTTCCTCAACTGTAAGTAGAGGTGGCTCTCTCTCTCAGTTTGTTATAAGGACAAAATGAAATGTTATGTTTAATGTGTGGCTCATAGTAAACACTCAACAAATGGTGGCTATTGTTTTCGTTATTAGAATGGCATAAGTAAATAAATAAAGATCTTCATTTTCAAAGTCTCACTTAGCAGGAAACCTATAAATTGATTTTTGATTTGCTTAAGTGCTCCATTATTCCTACATGCCCTGGTGTGATAATCCCTGGTTATTTTATGAACTTAATTTAGGCTATTTGTACATAATACCATTAACAGTATTTGTTTAATTTAGTCAACATCTCGCTTTGTATAGCAGTCAGAAATCCTGATTTTAAATACCATTCAGAGGACTCTAGGGAATTTCTAAACAGATGGATTTGTGTCTATGATATTTTCATTCCTTACCTGTTGGCCAGATATCAGGATTCTGCAAAGACAGCATTGGAGTGCTGCATGCCACCTTTTCCAACAGACCTCCCTAGTGATTCTGATTGAGAATGCAACACTGACCTTGGTATTTAATTATATCTCAGTGAAGTTAAAAAAAAAAAAAGTGATGGTAGGATAGGGGAGAGAAAACCACAGATCAACATCTGGTAATGTTGATCGTCTTCAGTTTCTGTCAGCATCCTTAGCCTTTGCCCTTCTATCTTATGTACCTGATCCCTTCATTTTTGTAGGAGACTTCCTGCTTGTGGTGCCAGCCTCTCTTCTGAGTCTCCCCAAAGCACCAACCCTGTCTTCGTTTTGTCTTTGCGTACTTTTGTTCTAATGCAACAACTGCTTTTTAAGCTCAAATTGATGGGGAGTACATGACAAAGATCTCCATTAACCCCCCTCCCTGTATTTTATCTTTATAAAAAAATACTCATTTGTTTTATTTTTTAGATTCCACATATAAGTGATAACATAGTTTTTATCTTTCTGTTTCACTTATTTCACTAAGCCTAATACAAACATTTTTTGATTAACCTTCAGCAGTAAAAGTTTTTTGAGCACTTAGACCCAATATATATATATATATATATATTTGAATGTGTATACATTATAAACGTGTACTACCATAATAATACATTATTTACATTCTAAAGTATAGCCTAGAAAAGAACTTCTTAAAGAGTGAGATAAATGGCTATAAGTAGAAGTCATTTTTTTCCCCTCCTATACTTTATCAGATTATTTTATAAACTCTTTGAGATGCTTGTATCCCACTTGAATGCACATTCATCGCTTGATCCCAAATAATTTAGAGCTTTGCTGGGAAAACAAAATGTCCTGCTAAGAGTCAGATTTTTAGTAGGATATGATTAGGAGTTGTTTAGACAAGGTACAAAGGTCACAGTTGTATCGTTGAGTGAGATCAGTTTTTCCCAAACTGTGTTATACCTCGGATCACTAAACCATTTGAATGTTCTGCCTGGAATCCCAAGGGAGGACAAAAGAATAGCAGGTAGAGGAGAATCAAGGCAGATTTTCTTCCCCTTAAGGATTTTGGGGAGGAAAGCAGGTATGAAGCAGTAATAATTTGCTTTGGTAACCGTGAACTAGTGACTGAGAGATACATAGATTGTAAGTGCATAGATTGTAAGTGCTAGGAGATTTCTGTATACAAGAGTTCTCTCTCTAGTCTTTGGTACAGAAAACACTTGGACTGTGATTCAAAGAGGAGATTGGCTAGGATTTAGATGAATAGAGAGACAGCATTTCCTGTCATTTGTTGGGACGTGTTGATTGTCTTTGATCTTGACTCACCTATTTACTTGCATGTTTCTCAGGTATTAAGAATTCCATGTTCCACATCATTGCTCATCAAGCTTATTCCAGTAGCTTCCTCACCATCCTTCCAACATCCTGGAATCCTTTTTCCTCTTCCTTTTTTATTATCTACTATTATTCTTATCTGGTTTCTGGATTATTGCCTCAACCTTCCTGCCTTCCTTCATGTTTCTCTTTCATTCCATTCCCACCAGGAAGCTAAAGTGATTTTTCTAAAATTTTAATTGGATTTGCATGTCTGTTTAAAATCATTCAGCAACTCTTCATACTCTTTGTGAAAAGTTCTGAATTCTTCACCATGATTTATAACATCCTTTAATACCTGAATCCTGCTTACTTTTCTAGCTTCATTCTGTCCCTCTTCTCCTTCTTCCATCAGGACAATCCCAGTGTATAGAACTTGTTTTCATGCTTTCTGGATCTTTGTACTTGTTTTCTCTGCCTGAAGCCATTCTCCTGGCTAACTTGTACTTGTCTTTTATGTCCCAACTTAAATTTAGTTTAAGTTTAAGTCAACTTAAATTTAGTTAAATTTAGTACTCAGTTAGTACTCTGCCTTCATCAGTTCTCCATTTATGCTTATAGGATGTAATACAAAGAACACAGGCTGTGGATTGGGGGTGGGAAGGCCAAGGTTTGACTCCTAATTTATTATGAGATTTGGGGAATGTAAATTAACCTCTTCAGGCCCTATTTTCTTCATCTCTAAAATGGGATAGTGATGCTTTTTTTTTTTAAACAAGTCCATTGAAAGAATTCATAATAAAATACACATTAAAAAGGATTTTGTAAGCACCAAAGCACCTTGCTCATGTAATTCGCTTCTGCTGTTAGTACTACTGCTGCTGCTACTATCATTTCTCTTCTCTCCCCTGCAATGATCCATTCCTGTCTTTGTACAGTGTTTTACATGGGACTTGTTTTTCTAGGGGATGAAGACTTTACCAAAGAGATAACAGAGCTATTTTCCCAGCTGCATGTCTCCTCCAAACCAGAGAAACTTGCCAGGGTAAGTTTTTCCTCCTGGAGATTTTCAGTTTTTTACATACATATATTTAGTGGATAAAGAATGTAAGGTTGTAAATTCCTGGCAAGGATGTCACCAACACCAAGGGTACATTCTGAGTTCCATACCTTGTGTCTGCTTCTTGGTTTCACAGGTTAGTGTGCTAAACTCACACTGCGCCTCCCAGCCACAGGCCCCCAACACATTTGCCATCCTCACCTGTTTTCATATGGAGTGCTTTGCTTGTCTGAAAGCTTAAATTAGGCCCCAGCTGTTGGTTGTGCTCACCAGCCATTGTGATACCAATGGGCTAGTTCTCTATTGAGGTCTCACTCTCTGTTGATGTTCTCAGGGCTCTGAGTGATTCACAGATGATGGCATGTGGCCCCTGCCATTAGGTAGCTAGAGGCTGCCATTTCCCAGAACCCAGTAACTCAGATAATGACCATTTAGCTTGTGGAAATGAGAGAGTTCTTGACCTGGACCTTGCGCTTTGGTGGCGATGCCTGAGCTGTAGCACGGGACTTTGGTCAGAGCTCAGGGTGGGTCGGGAGAGACTGTTTCCAGAGCAGGACCCGCCTAGCCTTTACACCAGTGTGCCAGCTCTTGGGAACTATTCTATGGGTCTTGAGCTGCCTGCTGCCTCTTCACCCTCTTCTCCTCATCTCAAGAAACATCTTAGAATCAGTTAGCAGCAGGCACACATTGCTTCCTGGCCAAGGAGAACTGGCAGCCATTAAGTAGACATCAGAGTCACCTCTTGCATACCCCAGGGTAAGAAATATGATGCTTGAGGGAAATTATGCATTGCTCTCTCATGACCAGTGAAAATGCTGCATTCTCTAGGAAAGCTTTCAGCACCTCACCTCAGCAGCTCTCCCTCATCTTGTCTGTAGCACTTTTAACTACAGCATTTTATAGCTTGGATCGTAGTGTTTTTGTTTGGAAATAATATCCAACTTAGAAAAAAGTTACAAGAATAGGACAAATAGCCATTCATATACCTTTTATGCAGATGTACCTGATAACATTTTACTTCATTTACTTAATCATTTGTGCTTGCAAATGTGTTCTCTCTATCCCTTTCTCTCTACCTCCTTCATACATACATGCACACACATGTTATAACTATTATTGGGATTATTTCTGGCTCTGTTATGTGGCATGCAGGATCTTTAGTTCCACAACCGGGGATCAAACCCATGCCCTCCACAGTGGAAGCGTGGAATCTTAACCACTGGACTGCCAGGGAATTCCTGGGACTATTTTTTGAGAGTAAATTATAAATATGATAGCTCTGTACTCCTAAATATTTCAATATGTGTCTCTTAAGAATGTGGATATTCCCTTCCATAACCACACTAATTATCAACTGCAATAAATTTAACATTGATACCATACTTTATTTAATCTGTTGTCCACATTCCAGTTCTGTCAGTTGACCTGATAATGTCCTTCATTTTTTTCCTTTAATGTTGGAGCAAGTACACGATCATAAATTGTATTTCTTTGTCACATACATTGTCTCTCTTAATCTGTATTTGCTTCATTTTTGTTTGTTTAGTCCCTTTTAATATGGAATAGTCCTTAGCCTCTCTTTGTCTTTTATTATTTTGACATTTTTGAGAAATACAAGCCCCTTCTCTCTTTATAGAAGTAGAGTATTCCTTACTTGAGGGTTGTCTGATGTTTTCTTATGATTAAAGTCAAGTTATGCATTCTCAGCTGAAAGAGCTCATAAATAATGTTGCATCCTGCACAGGGTACAACATATATAGAGGCACATGATGTCCATCTGTCCCTTATTGGTGGGGTGTTGTCTGATTTCTTACTGTATGGTTATGATTTTGTTCCTGTGCTACTAATGAGCTTTCTGTGGGAAGACATTTTTAAGACCATACAAATACCCTGCTGCTCATAATTTAGCATCCTAGCTTTAGCAGCTATTCATGATTCTTGATGCACCAGTCTTTTACTGTGATGATTGCCAAATGATTTGTTTCAATCTCAGTACATGCTTCACATTTACCAGTTGGCTGTCAGCATTCTACTGAAGAGTTAAGAACTTTACCTTCTCCCCTTGTCTCTCTATTTATTATCTGTTACTGGTATGGTCTTAGGGGTTTCTATTTTTTTCTCCATTGGTTTGTAATTCATTACTGTCCTTAATTATTTTGGTGTTCAAATTGTCCTTCAAGCTGACTCCTGTGTGACGTGTCCCTATTAGTCTTTGAGTATTTCCTTATTTTTGGGCATAACAAGATCTTGTGCCTTCCATATTTCTCCCTAGAATCAACCTGAAATTCAAGGAGCCATGGTTCCTTTTTGATATTTCAGGCCAAAACCTAGATGCTAGATGTGCTCATTGCTTGGGGTGTCTTTGTTTCTAGGCTTGTTGGCAGAGCTGTGTGTGTGTGTGTTAACTTGCTTCAGTCACACCCAGCTCTTTGTGACCCTGTGGACTGTAGCCCACCAGGCTCCTCAACCATGGGATTTTCCGGGCAAGAATACTGGAGGGGATTGCCATGCTCTCCTCTAGGGTATTTTCCCAACTGAGGGATCGAACCCGTGACTCTTATGTCTCTTGCGTTGGCAGGCAAGTTCTTTACCAGTAGTGCCACCTGGGAAGCTGCAGAGCTAGGAGGTGTATTTAGCTATATTTTTCTGGGGTCCAAAATCACTGCAGATGGTGATTGCAGCCATGAAATTAAAAGATGCTTACTCCTTGGAAGGAAAGTTATGACCAATCTAAACAGCATATTAAAAAGCAGAGACATCACTTTGTCAACAAGGGTCAGTATAGTCAAACTATGGTCTTTCCATAGTTATGTATGGATGTGAAAGCTGAACCATAAAGAAATCTGGGCACCAAAGTATTGATGCTTTTGAAATGTGGTTCTGGAGGAAACTCTTGAGAGTCCCTTTGACTGCAAGGAGATCAAACCAGTCAATCCTAAAGGAATATTTATTGCAAGTACTGGTACTGAAGTTGAAGCTCCAATACTTTGGCCATTTGATGCAAAGAACCAACTCATTGGAAAAGACCCTGATGCTGGGAAAGATTCAAGGCAGGAAGAGAAGGGCGCAACAGAGGATGAGATGGTTGGATGGCATCACTGATTCAATGAACAAGAATTTGGGCTTCATTGCATAAGCATGGTTGACTGATCACATGACNGGTGGGAGGGGGGACCGGGATGGGGAATACATGTAAATCCATGGCTAATTCATTTCAATGTATGACAAAAACCACTGCAATGATGTAAAGTAATTAGCCTCCAACTAATGAAAATAAATGGAAAAAAAAAGAGAATGTTAATAAACTTGATTACCAACATTAAAAAAAAAAATTTCTTCAAGGCTGGATCTGTGATATGCTTTATTGTTCTTAAAATCCCACCTCTACCATCGTACTTTCTATGCCGTCTTAAACAAATTGCTCAACCTCTCTGTGCCTCAGCTTCTCTGTCTGGGAGGCAGGGATAATGTAGGGTTTCTGTGAAGATTTCATGTGTTAATACACACAGGGCTCTGCAAAGTACCTGGCCCATAGTAAATATGCATTGTTTATAGTCCTGAAGAAGGTACCTCAGTGTGTTATACATTTAGATGTTCAATAAATACATGTTTACAATAAACCTTTATTTTGCTAGGTGCTAAGGAAAAAGTAATGAAAGAGACATAGTTTCTCTGCTCAAAGAGATTATAATAATAAGTTATTTAGTCCTAGTCATTCTCTGAAAGCAGTTTTCATATTGCTTTTATTTTGGGTTTTGAGACTTAAGATAAACAATGATTAAGGATAAGGGCCTGATTACTTCTAGAAATTTATATGAGAGTCTGTATGATGCAGAGGAAAAGCAATGAAGTAAAAATCTGAGAGTACAATTCTGATTCTTATTCTGACCCTCACATATGATGTAGGCAAATCCCATTCCTTCTTCAGGCCTCACTTTTTTTCAGCAAAATAAATAAATAAGCTGTTGCAGAAGCTTAGCTCAAAGGTGCCTTTTGATTTGTAGGTCTTCCCCAGTGGCTCAGTGGGTAAATAATCTGCCTGCAGTGCAGGAGATGCAGGTTATATCACTGGGTCGGGAAGATCCACTGGAGGAGGAAATGGCAACCCACTCCAGTATTCTTGCCTGAAAAATCCCACAGACAGAGGAGCCTGGCGGGCTACAGTCCGTGGGGTCGCAAAGAGTTGGACATGACTAAGCATGAGCCTAGAGGCTCAGATGTAAGGAAGCTGCCTGCAATGCAGGAGACCCGGCTTTGATCCCTGGGTCCGGAAGATCCCCTGGAGAAGGGAATGGCTACAAACTCCAGTACCCTTTGCCTGGAGAATTCCATGGACAGGAGAGCCTGACAGGCCATGGGCTATAGTCCATGGCAAAGAGTCGGACACAGCTGAGTGACTGACAAAAACAACAAGCACTGATGAGTCTGGATCTCATCAGTGGAAGGTTCCATACTGATCTGGGTGTGGAGAGTGGCTACCTTGGTATTTTTTTGAAAAGGATGATAAATTACATTGAGTCAGTAGAATGGACTGTAATAACATCACTTAATGTATTTATTACTAGAGAGGTTATTTTAAGTATATAAGCCTACTAAAATGACTCTTAAGTATATTAAATTTATACTATCAGTTTTCTTTCTGTTTTATATGACCTTATCTCTATTTTTCTTTTTTCCATCTCACATAAATCAGTGTCTGTTTTTTCTCTCATTTTATCTCCTCAAAGAAATTGTAGAGACTTTCACATATATTTAGACTGTTCTTCAACTGTTAGAATCCTTAACAGCCTTATCTCTCACTATTCTCTTCTATATAAATTTCTCCTCCCCAACCTCATCTTTTACCATGCTTCTCCCATTTTGGCCTTGGTTCTTTCCTTGAATATGCCAATCTGGTGTCCCTCTGCTTATGTTTCTCATTGTCTAAATATTTTATATGGCTAACACCTCTTAAATTTCAGAATTCAGCTCAAATATTGCTCCTCAGAGATTTCCTGCCCACCCAAATGGAATCTGCTTTCTACTCACCCACTCTACACTCTTTAGCACTTCATTTTATTTTCTTCATGCTTTTACATGTTTGCTTGTTAATTGTCCTTTCATAGTAGAATAAAGATCAGGGCCATAGTTTGTATTAGTCACTATATTCCCAGCATCTAGGACAGTATGTGCTACATATTTGTAACAAATGAATGAATGTACCCTATTATCTGGTCTTACCAGTTATCTCACAGTTTTCTCAGTACACCTTGTGTTTTCTTGCTTCCAAACCTTTATTAATTATTTATTTTTTAATTTCGAAGATTAATGCTTTAATAGTGAGAAGGTTATAGATCAGAGCCAGATTATACCTGAGGGACTTTTGGGAGGCCCTGTATTACAGGGGAAAGAACCTTGAAGTGAATGTCGAGTACATAGATTCTACTGTAGCTCATTCATGTGTACCCTTGGGTATAGCACCACTTATTGATCCTTAAAGGCTCAGCCCTAATACTATGTCTGTAATAAACCCTGTAATTCTCTCGGTTTTCAGTTGGAATGACTCTCAAGGTCATCTTTGGATTCCTGTTGCTTGGTTACAACTCTGAACACATTCTGTCTATACAGAGTCACTCAAGTGGGTTAACTCATTTAATGACAGTAAAAGTTTCCTTAAAAACCTGGACTCTCTCAGTTGCAAATGACAGAAACTTAAGTCAGACTGGATTAAGAGAAATGCATATTTATTAGCTCAAGAAACTAGAAAACTGGGGCTTCCCTGGTGGCTCTGTGGTAAAGAATCTGCCTGCCAATGCAAGGAGACCTGGGTTCAGTCATTGGGTTGGGAAGATCCCTTGGGGAAGTAAATGGCAACCCACTGCAGTATTCTTGCCTGGGAAATGCCATGGACTTCGGAGCCTGGTGGGCTATAGTACATGGGTTGCAAAAGAGTCGGACACAACCTAGCAACCAAACAACAAGCTGAAAGGGTGTTTATGGGACTGTAGGCATACATAAAAGGGTTGTTGAGGTGCCCAGTCTCCTGGGATGTCTTTGAAAGTTACTTGGAGCAAACAGTGTTTGGATGGAGAATTGAAAGAAAGTTGAGTTGCCTTGATTTAAGGGAAAAAAAATGGGAAAGACAGTCTGGACTAAAGGAATAACATGAAAGAACAGGCACATTATTGGTCATTATTATCAGTTCATAAAGTGGAAAGTGGTGAGAGAAGCTGGAGAGTAGACTAGATCATGGGCACTTTTTAGATTATGTCAAAGAGCATGATCTAGTTGATGGGGAGCCATTGAAGAGAAGTGGAGAAATCAGCTATGGGCTTAGATAGATCACTGGTACCATTATGGAAGATGGATTTTAAGATGAGCCAAATTGGAAGCAGGGAGACCAGAGTGCTATTGCCATAAAGTATATTTGAACTCCTGTGGTGGTAACAAGAGAGGAAGAGGAGGGGCAAATTGGAAAATACATAGGCTAAAATCAGACCATGTTGGTGTGTGGAAAGGAAGAATCTAGAATGGCTCAGGTATTTTGGCTTGGATGACTGGTGGTTCTTCTAAAACTCAAGGGAATAAGAGAAGATGAAAAAATTAGGGGTAGGGAGAGAAAGATGACAAATTTAATTAAATTTTGTCCATGTTATACATGATACAGATGCCTATAGGATATCCTGATATGTATGTCAAGCAAAGAGTTGGAATATGTTGCTTTCAGGAGAAGTTAGTGCTGGAGATAAGGATTCAGGAGTCAGCAGCAGATAGGGAATATTAAAATTACTGAGTTAGGACTGATGGAGAGAGAAGGGAGTAGGGTGAGAGAAGTAGAGAGCCATGACTGCTAGTTGATTTGAGCAGTACTGACTAGGAAGGGGTATGGGGGACTTTCTAGAGGGATGGGAATGTTGTGTAATTGATCTGGGTCACATAAACATAAATGTGTACACATGTAGCCTGTCATACTCTGAAAATTTGTACACTTTATGTAAGTTACAACTTAGTTTAAAAAAAGCCAAAGATTAGAGAATTCAAGAGGGAATGAGTGGTCATAAATGTTAAGTGTTTTATAGAGATCTGTTAAGTTCAGCACTGAGAAGTTCAGTGGTATGTTCGGGTGAGAACAAGAGCATTGACCTCCATTGTGCTAAAATGTTCCTGGTAGAGGCACAGTAATCTTGGTGAGCTGAATTAAATTGCTGATGGACTATACAGCCATCCCTCGACAGCCTCAGAAGTATCCTGCTTCCAGGGACCCCTATTGATAGCAAAATTCAGGGATGATCAATTGCCCGATACAAAATGGTGTAATATTTGCTTGTAACCCATGTACCTCCTCTGCTGCTGCTGCTAAGTCCCTTCGGTCGTGTCCGACTCTGTGCGACCCCATAGACCCCACCAGGCTCTGTCCTTGGGATTCTCCAGGCAAGAATATGGAGTGGGTTGCCATTTCCTTCTCCAGTGCGTGAAAGTGAAAAGTGAAAGTGAAGTCGCTCAGTCGGTTCTGACTCTTAGTGACCCCATGGTCTGCAGCCCACCAGGCTCCTCCGTCCATGGGATTTTCCAGGCAAGAGTACTGGAGTGGGGGTGCCATTGCCTTCTCTGTACATCCTCTAGTATATGTTAAAGCATCTCTTCATTACTTATAATACCTAATACAGTATAAATGGTGTGTATATAGTTGTAAATGCAATATAAATGCTGTTGAAGTTGCCAGCATTTGGCAAACTCAGGTTTTGCTTTTTGGAACTTTCTGGATTTTTTTTTCCTCTGAATATTTTCAGTCCATGGTTGATTGACTCTGAAGATGTGGAGCCTGTGGATATAGAGGGCTGACTGTAATCTTTTTCTTATTTAGGCAAGAAATACAGCCTATGAGTGGATCAGGACATCTCTGGCCAAACCGTTGGAAGAGAAGGAAGAAGGAGAAAAACAGTTGGAAGCAGAAAGCACTGAGCAGATCAATAACAATTCAATAGAGGTAAAATGAAAACAACTAGGGCTTTTTTTTTTCTTTTAATTTGAGATGTGAGTATCGCAAGAGAGGGCTCTAAGCACTTTCTGTTTTGTTGTACTGCTATCCATAATTTCTACTTTGTGATCCAAGATCCCAGCATCTTAGTTCCAAACTACAGGATGCAAAGAGTGAGGAAAAAGAGACAGAAGGGTGCATGTGTGTGGCATCATGAGAAGGTTCCCAGGAACTAACATCTGACACTTTTTATTCTAATTGTTTGGTTAAAACTTGGTCACATAGTCACACTTCAGGGGAGCCTCTTTTTTACATCTGTGAACCCAGTTACAAAATTATGTAACAACTCTAGAAGAAGAGAAGGTTTATTTAAGGGCAAGTATTAGTCTTTGTTGCTTTCAAGGTACTGAATACTTCAATGTGGGAGAAGCAAGGTGGTGTCATTTCCTCTTGTACAAAAAAAGCCAAATGCTTGGACTTGTTATGCTTTGTTTTGTTTTTCCATCCAGGATATCCATGCATTTGCAATCCAGAGCCTAGCAGAACTGACTGCCTGCTCAATTGAACTTTTTCACAAAACAGCAGCTCTGGTTCTACATGGCGGGAAACAGGAAGTAACAGCCATAGAAAGGAGCAGAGCCCTTTGCCAGTAAGTGTAATAAGTGTCCCTCTAAAATGATGCATATTGCTGTAAGAGTTTTCTCAGTTTTCTTTCCAACATTTTAGAAACTTTCCTCTCAATAAGATGTTGTTCACGTTGGTCCATTCACATCTTTGAGGTTTATTTTGGATTTTGTTTATTTTCATTGAGCCTTGAATCTGCATTAGAAATTTACCCTTTTTAATTAACCAACTTATACTCTGAAAACTATTTTTTTTTTCAGATTATTGGCCTTAATTGGAATAGAATTCTGCATAAGTGAAAACAGAAAATAGTTCTAAGAACCTCAATTCTTTTCCTTTTTAAAAAAAAAAATTATTTATTTTTGGTTGTGCTGAGTCTATGTTGCTGTGCCTAGGCTCTCTCTAGTTTCAGTCAGCAGGGGCTTCTTTCCATTGTGCACGGGCTTCTCATTGCGGTGGCTTCTCTTGTTACAGAGAATAGGCTCTAGGGCATTCGGGCTCAGTAGTTATGGCACACAGGCTTTAGTTACTCTGTGGCATGTGGAATCCTCCCAGAACAGAGATCAAGCCCATGTCCTCTGCATTGGCAGGTGGATTCTTAGACACTGAGCCACCAGGGAAGTCCACCTGAATTCTTAATAACAGTTGCTAGTTTTTGAGTGCTAATTATGTGCCAGGTACCATGCTAAGTGAAGCGAAGTGAAGTTGCTCAATCATGTCTGACTCTTAGTGACCCCATGGATGGCAGTCTACCAGGCCCCTCCATCCATGGGATTTTCCAGGTAAGAGTACTGGAGTGGGGTGCCATTGTCTTCTCCATGCTAAGGGACACATGTAAATGTGTCATTTGTAATCTTTAAAACAAACTTTAAGATAAGTGATCAGTCCAGCTTTAAAAATGAGGAATCACAGACTTAAGTAAATTGCCAAGTTTTGCAGGCTGGGATTTAAACCCAGGTCTAAATTTCAAACCTTTTTTTTTTTTTGGTTTGTTTTTTACTATATTGCTGATTTTGAACAAAAGTTTTAAAAATAATAGAATGTAGATAGTCACAGGAAAAAAAAAAACCCTGCTGTTTTCTATAGTCACAAGAGGGAAAAAACAAAAACCCTACTGCTTTCTAACTAAATCTCCTAATTAAATAATGAGAATTTTCATTGGGAAAAAAACATGAGTGAGAGTATCTAGTGTGTTATGATTAGAAGAGACCCTTGATGGTCTCTGGGCCTCTTCTTCACTACAGTTTTGGTGCCCCTTTACAACATCCCATAAGGAGGGGGCCTAGTCTTGTTTTAAACATTCTTAGGATGAGAAGGGGAGTTGCTCAGTCATGTGCGACTCTTTGCGATTCCATGTACTGTAGGCCACCAGGCTCCTCTGTCCATGGAATTGTCCAGGCAGGAGTTCTGGAGTGGGTTGCCATTTCCTTCTCCAGTGGATCTTTCCGACCTGGGGGTCGAACCCAGGTCTCCTGCATTACAGGCAGACGCTTTACCGTCTGAGCCACCATGGAAGCCCCATCCTTAGGATGAGGGATTCACAAATGTACAGCATCCTGTTCTTTGGGAAAGTAGCTATTTCCACTGCTTGGAATGCTTTTCCAGCCATGGCTCTTCCCCTCACTGAATTCAGTTTTCACTTCTAAGAGGTTCCTTTTTTCACCTCCAATCTAAAATGCTGTCTTCAACCATTTTCTTATTCTTTTTCCCCCTCTAACTCTTTCAGTATCACATAGATCAATTTAACTTCCTCAAGGTTTGGATTTATATTTTATTTATTTATTTATTAAGATTTATTTATTTACTTTATTTTTGTCTGCATTGGGTCTTCATTGCTGCACACAGGCTTTCTCTAGTTGTGGCAAGTGGGGGCTACCCTTCAATGCGGTATGCAGTCTTCTCATTACGGTGGCTTCTCATTGCAGATCACAGGCTCTAGGCGCCTGGGCTTCAGTAGTTGTGGCTCACAGGCTTAGTGACTCTACGGCATGTGGGATCTTCCCAGACCAGGAACTGAACCTGTGACCCATCCCTGGGCAGGTGGATTCTTAACCACTTGACCACCAAGGAAGCCCATTTTGTTTTTAAAGATTACCTTTAAAAAGAATAAAGATTCACAGTTATTACAGAATATTGGCTTTATTACCCATGTTGTATAGCCTGTGGTAACACCCAATTGTTTGTACTTCCACTCCCTCACCTTCATATTGCCCCTCCCTCCCTCTCCCTACTGGTAACCACTATGTTCTCCATGTATGTGAGTTTGCCTTTTGTTTATTTTATTCATTAGTTTGTTGTGTTTTTTTTTTTATTCCATATATAAGTGATATCATACAGTATTTGTCTTTCTCTGTCTGACTTATGCTGTCCTAGTCCATCCATGTTGCTGTGAATGGCAGAATTTCATTCTTTTTTATGGCCAAGTAGTAGTCCATTGTGTATATATACAGCATCTTTATCCATTCATCTGTTGATAGACACTTAGGTTACTTCCATATCTTGGCAATTGTGAATAATACTGTTATGAACATTGGAGTGCATGTATCTTTTTGAGTTAGTGGGTTTTTTTTTTTTTTGTTATATATATATACCCAGGAGTGGAATTATTGGGTCATATGGTAGTCCTGTTTTTAGTTTTTTGAGAAAACTATACTATTCCCACAGTAGCTGCACCAATTTACATTCCCACCATCAGTTACAAGGGTACCCCTTTTTCCACATTGTTGCTAACATTTGTTATTTGTGTTCTTTTTGATGACATCCATTCTGACAGGTATGAGGTGATATCTCATTGTAGTTTTCTAAAAAAATTTTAAATTTTTAAAAATTAAAAAAACTTTGATTGGAGTGTAGTTGATTTATAATGTTGTACTAGTTTCAGGTGTACAGCAAACTGAATCAGTGTACATATATCCACTTTTTGTTTTAAGATTCTTTTCCCACATAGGCCATTAGAGTACTGAGTAGAGTTCCTTGTGCTATATATAGCAGGTTATTATTAGTTATGTATTTTATATATAGTGGTGTGTATACATCAGTCCCAGTCTTCCAGTTTATCCCTCCCCACCCTGGTAACCATGTTTGTTTCCTACATCCATGACTTTACTTCTGTTTTGTAAATAAGTTCATTTGTACCCCCTTTTTTTAAGATTCCCCATATAATTGATACCATATTTGTCTTCCTGTATCTCACTTATTTCACTCAGGATAACGTTACTGTCTTATTGTGGTTTTGATTTGCCTTTTCCTGATACATTTTTGAATTCTTTGTTTTCTTAACTCATATCACCATTTAGTGCATATTATGTATATATAAATATATCTATGTTTATGTGTCTGTGTATAAATGTATACATACATGACTATAAACATATACAGATATCCATCTTTTTCTATATTTATAGTCTCCCTCTTAATCAGCAAGTAAGTTAGTATTCATGAATACTAGTACTTTACTTGTTTACTAATATATCCCCAGTGCTCAGAAGTACCTGGCACATAGAAGCCTTTCAGTATGTGTTGAATGAATGAATAAATATTTAACTATTTTTCTAAATGAAAAGTAGGATCTTTCAGGTACTACCTTGTATCCTTAAAATGTATCTTAGTTATTTCCTTTGATTTAATTTGAAAGCATAGTATTTTCTAGAGAATTTTGTAGAGAAATATTTCTCTAAGGACTAAACCTTCTCTTCCTGTAGCATGGGCCTCCAAATACTTGCTTTAAAAGCTGCTTTCGTTCACATTTAGTATCAGGTGTTTTTTTTTTTTTTTCTGATAGTAGCTTTATTTTTTAAAAAAAGAGAGAAAATAATAAAACAGAAAAGAACCCTCCTCTTTTCCCTTCTTTTCTAGGATAACAGTTTTGTTGTGTAAAGAATTGTCCTGTCTATCTAAAGAGTTCACCACCTGCCTAACAACTGCTGGGGTAAGAATTCATGACTTTTATTGGGCTAATGTCTATTTTGTTTTGTTTTTAGAATAGCTTTATTAAGATATAGTTTACATATCTTAAATATTTGTCTATTTAAGTGTACATTTTAGTGATTTTTTAATATATTTACAGGGCTGTGTAGCCATCACCATAATCTAATTTTATATCTTTTTCATCACCTCTCAGAAAACCTCACACCATTAGCAGTCACTTACTATTCCCTTCCCCTCTGTATACTTCTAACCTTAAGCAACACTAGTATATTTTCTGTCTATAGATTGGCCTATTCTGGACATTTCCTGTAAATGGGATCATTCAGTATTGTGGTATTTTGTGTCTGGTTTCTTTCACTTGTTTGTGGTGCTTTAGTTGCTAAGTTGTATCTGACTCTGCGACCTCATGGACTATAGCCCACCAGGCTCCTCTGTCCATGGAATTTCTCAGGCAAGAATACTGACGTGGGTTGCCGTTTCCTTTTCCAGGGGATCTTCCTGACCCAGGGATCAAACCTGTTGTTTTGTTTTTAGAATAGCTTTATTAAGATATAGTTTACATATCTTAAATATTTGTCTATTTAAGTGTACATTTTAGTGATTTTTTAATATATTTACAGGGCTGTGTAGCCATCACCATAATCTAATTTTATATCTTTTTCATCACCTCTCAGAAGACCTCACACCATTAGCAGTCACTTACTGTTCCCTTCCCCTCTGTATACTTCTAACCTTAAGCAACACTAGTATATTTTCTGTCTATAGATTGGCCTATTCTGGACATTTCCTGTAAATGGGATCATTCAGTATTGTGGTATTTTGTGTCTGGTTTCTTTCACTTGTTTGTGGTGCTTTAGTTGCTAAGTTGTATCTGACTCTGCGACCTCATGGACTATAGCCCACCAGGCTCCTCTGTCCATGGAATTTCTCAGGCAAGAATACTGACGTGGGTTGCCGTTTCCTTTTCCAGGGGATCTTCCTGACCCAGGGATCAAACCTGCGTCTCCTGCCTGACAGGGAGACTCTTTACCACTGAGCCACCTGGGAAGCCCTTCTTTCACTTAGTGTGATGTTTTTGAGGTTCATCCATGTGTATCAGTATTTCCTTTTTATTACTAAATAATACTCTATTTTATGGATATACCTTATTTCTCTGTTGATCAGTTGATAGACATTTGGATTGTCTATGCTTTTTGGTTGTAATGAATGTTTTTACTATAAACATGCATATATGTTTTTATTTCTCTTGGGTGGATAGTTAGGAGTGGAATTTCTGGTTCATATGGGTAATATAGACCATTAAGGAACTGTCAGACTGTTTTCCAAAGTAGTTGCACCATTTTACACCCCTGCCAGCAATGTATGAGGGTTCCAGTTTCTCCACATCCTTGTTGACACTTGCTGTTGTCTGTTTTGTTTTTTAAAATTTTATCTGAGCTAGTAGGCATGAAGTATTATCTCATTATGGTTTTTTTTCTTTTTGCATTTCCTGTTGGCTAATTATGTTGAGCATCTTTTCATGTGCTTGTTAGCAATTTGTATGTCTTCGTTAAAGAAATGTCATTTTGAGACCTTTGCCTGTTTTTAAGGTTATCTTTTTATTGTTAGTTTCTAAATTGGGATGTTTATTATTTATTATTTCTTATTTATTCTGATTTTTATTATTTACAATTTATTATTGAGTTATAGGGGGCTTCCCTGTAGCTCAGACAGTGAAGAATCTACCTGCAATTCAGGAGACCTGGGTTTGATGCTGGGTTGGGAAGATCCCTGGAGAAAAGAATGGCAACCCACTCCAGTATTCTTGCATGGAGAATCTCATAGACAGAGGAGCGTGGTGGGCTACAGTTCATGGGGTTGTAAAGAGTCGGACCTGACTGAAGGAGATGGTGAAGGACAGGGAAGTCTGATGTGCTGCCGTCCGTGGGTTGCAAAGAGTCAGACGTAACTGAGCAACTGAACAACAACATTGAGTTATAGAAGTTCTTTAGTTTTTGTAGATACAAGCTCCTTACCAAATATATGATATGCACATGTTTTCTCCCAGTCCATGAGCTATCCTTTCACTTTCTTGATAGTGAATAGTGATAGAACCCAAATTGTCAATATTCTCTTTTATCACTTGTTCTTTTGGTATCGTATCTAAAGAATCATTACCTCACCCAGGATCATGAGGATTTATTCATGTTTTTTTCCTAAGACTTTTATGATGCGGCTCTTATGTTTATGTCTGTTATCCATCTTTTTGTGTAGGAAGTGAGGTAGGGGCCCAACTTCATTTTTTTTGCGTGTGGATATCCAGTATTCCCAGCACCGTTTGTTGGAAAATTGTCCTCTTTTGAATTGTCTTAGCCCCTTTTTGTCTAATATCAACTGACTGTAGACATATGGATTTCTTTGTGGACTCATTTCTATTGCATTGATCTGTGTGTATCTTTATGCCAATGCCATAGATTACTGTAGCTTTGTAGTAGTTTTTGAAATCAAGCAGTGTAAGTTTTCTAACTTTGTTATTATTTTTCAAGACTTTTTTTGTCTGTCTTGGGCCCTGTGCAATTACATCTGAATTTTAGGATCGGTTTATCTACATCTAACTGAATTTTGCATCTCATTTTTGTTCGTTTATATACAATCTTCAGTATATTTTGTGCTGCTCTCCTGAGACGTGTGATGAGAATGTAGACTTTGATAAGATAAGAATTCCAAAGTTTGNATACCTGGTCACAACTCCAGTTGGAACTGTCTTTCTGGGGAGCTGAGGCCTGCACAGAAAGCTGTGTTTGAATCTTGATAATCCCTGTTTCTCCTGTAATATGTGATGTGCCTAAATGAGAGTCACTTTAGAATATAAATCAATGGCATTGCTTTTGAGCTTTGTAATTGATGGCAGCTCACTCAAATGAAATCCCTTTTTGTATATCATTCTTCCTGTGATGTAGCCATCTTAATTTTGAGTGGAAAATATTATCACACTATTAAGAGTAATTTCAACGTTTGTGGGCCTCTCTCATAATGGTACATGTTGACTGACTAATCTGGAAAAGGTTAATGATAATCTCTGTAAGATTCTTTTTTTTTAACCTGAAATTTTTATTGGATTATTAAACTTATTTGGAGTCCTCTCCGTTTCTTTTCTCTGTAGGTTTACCCAAGAGAATGGTTCTGTTACCCGTTATGAAATTCCCAACATATCCTGTTCCCCACTACTCATTCTTTTAGCAAATGACAGAAGCTAATTCCTATTCCAACAACAACCCAGTACATACAGAATGTTAGCGAAAAAGCCTTTTTATCCTGCTTTCTTTGAACACATACTTGATCAAAATTATTTGTAAAGAACATCTTTTCCTACTTTTTGATTTTAACAAATGCAAATTTAGTTCTCTAAAACTTGAAAACAAACAAAAAAGAAACTAGTTCTGTGAAACGGTACCTCATTTCTGGAAAATAACTTATACCAGCCCTTCTGTTCTAGGGAAATAAGTCTAGCAGTTCAAAGTTTTAAGTTTTAAGAGGAATATCAGATTATGTAAAATTAAATTTGTGAAGGATGTATAGAGTCTCAAACACTGATCACAAATAAAATGCTTTGTTGTAAAAAAAAAAAACAGAATTCCTGGATTTCCTAAAGTTAATCTTCTGAGGCTAAATTTTTCCGTGTATTTCGTAAAGATATCCTAGCAAGTTGGTTCTGAGGTGCTAGCTAATACATGCAAGTATTGAATTTGCATTATTTGTTTTGATGTTTTCCAAATGGTGTATTTTAAAAAACCAATTGAGTCTTTTGAGCACATGTTTTATATCTGCATATTTTGTTTTAAAATTTTTTCTAGTTTTCATGGTCAAATAGACCATTTCTATCCCCTTCTGAAATGAAGATACTTCAAAGTCAGTGAAAACTACAAAGGAGTACACTCTCAATTTGGATATCACAGAAGGATAGAAAGAAGGAAATTTAAAGTCCTTCTTGATATGATTCAGGCTTTTTCTATGCTTATATTTATGTATGGGTGTGTTTCAAAGTGGG